TTGGCTAAATTTTACTGTTTTTTGAACCCACGTTGTTATAGTCTGTTGGAGAAGACTAGAACAAACCGACCGCTGACACAGAGAGGACATGCCCGCATTCATCACCATCGCGTTACGGCGCTTATCTCACAACATCCCGTCAACGGGCGGGCGGACATCTGCAGAATGGAGGCGGGTGACAGCCAATGGACAACGCGGCATTTGTCACCATTAGCCCCCCACCGACCAGATTCTAAATACGATTTTGCTATTACAGTTCCGTTTGGATGGGATTTTATCAAATTTGGCTTGTCCCAGGCAGGGTAGCTGGCATCAGGTGGGACTACGGAAAGTCTCGGTTGAGGTCAAGCAAGGGGAAAGTGCAACACAACAGGCAAACATTACCTTCATTACCTCCAGGGAATGAGCTATTTATCTGCGGGAGGGTACTGTTTTTGGTCATGTTTGTGTTTGTGTGTTCGCAGCTGTAACTCGTGGTGGGTTTGACGGACTTCTTTGATTTTTGAAACATTAGCATTATGTATACTTAAGGAAGTCTCAGATTTCTTGTTTCTGTTTCTTACCAGTGATATCTGTGCACCTGACTATTGCTTTCTTCTAAACGTCCCCCTTTTTATGTCGGTCTTTATTACATGTAACGTTACTAGGAAGAACGAAAATCTGAGGCGTTCGTCGATTTAATAAAAGATGAGAATGTTTCATCTGCCGTTCAGGTTGCTCTTACCAACCATGTGGTCATGTGTAGGGCTGTTCATCTCCAAGCAGATCTTTTGGTGGCGTCAACGGCAAGACAGTATCAAACTGGCCAGGCAGTTGCCATTGGGCCACCCGAAGTAATTGAAAGAAGAAATTTTTTTAAAAGAAAGCCCGATAAAAACGCCTAAAAGCACCCCAAACTAGAAAGGCCAATATTTGCTTTGGAGCAAATACAGCGATGGGTTCACCACATTTTACCACATGGCAGGGAAAGAATGAGAAACACAAGGGAAAACAATGATTTACATTGATATAACTATAATATGAAGTAACATACAACTAAAACAACAGTTGGATAGCTATTCCCTACTTTATTGGTTAGGATTTTTAATTGCATAATGCAAACTGTTGATTTTCAAAATAAAAAAAAAACGTCCATGCCCCGCATTCCAATGCTTGAGCAGAAAAGCTTGAAATACCTACCAAAACACTTGAATAAAGACATACTGTCAGTATGGAAATGCTCTGTGCAGGTGTTAATCAAGTTAAATCCCAACAGCCAATCAGCAAGAAATGCTCTGTGCAGGTGGAAATGCTCTGTGCAGGTGTTAATCAAGTTAAATCCCAACAGCCAATCAGCAAGAAATGCTCTGTGCAGGTGGAAATGCTCTGTGCAGGTGTTAATCAAGTTAAATCCCAACAGCCAATCAGCAAGAAGTATAGAGGAAAGCTGCATGCCTATTGGTTGATGCCCTGCATTCCATTGTGATGACTCATGCCCAAACGTGCTAAACAAGGCACACTAACACAGTAATACATTTGCTATAACACAGCCAAAAAACTCAAATAAAACCATTCTAAAAGCCTGTATCACAATAATTTAAAAAACGCCTAGGGGCATTTGCCCACTGTACCTCCATACCAAATTTCAGGACCTTAGGCCCTAAAATGAAGAAGCTGAATCCATTTAAAAAATGGCAGGAGAAGAAGGAGAAGAAGGAGGAGAAGAAACATCAGAAAAAGCAATATGGGTTCACCACCACTTCGTGGTGTGGTGAACCCATAAAAAAATACGCCGAAGTCTGAACCACTGTTTGGAGAGTGTAGGAACGTTAAATATTGTGATGGCACCTGCCATACATGCGCCACGCATATTGTATCAGTATCACACTACCATACATGTAGCATATGTGCTAATTCACGATATTCCTACATGACGCCAATGCAAATGTCCAGGTCAACAATCGGGGAAAATCTCATAATTGGTGTAAGCGGCTCGGCGCTTATCACGAATTAGCTGATGGCACGCAATATCTGGCAGTTTCGCCCCCCTCCCCCTTTTTTCCCTTTTCGTAGATGATTACCATACGTGACCTCTGCTGTGCTCCATTTCGTTCGGCTCAGTCGAACTTAGCCTCTACCAGGCTTCGGAAGGCGGTTGGAGAAGAGTAGAAATCGCCCAAACAGAGAAACAACATATGCCAGGGGAATTGGTCTGCTAGAGCGTACAGTCAGCTGCCGCACATCTCTAGTGGACCAACTCCCTTGGCATATGTCATCTCTCCATTTGGCCAATTTCCACTCTTCTCCAGTCGCCTCCCGAAGCCTGGTAGAGGCTAAGTCGAACTGACTTTCCGCACGTGGTGGGGATCTAACGACTCTAACGTTTCTACAGCTGTGTTTTGTTTATTTGGGACGTTTTACCGGACTCGTTCTCCACACATCACGGACACGCCAACTCCACCAACGTAAATATGTCCTCCCAACTCCCAGGTGATTTATATACGCACAGTGGACCGTGTTTCCGTACGGTTGTCGACGGCTGCTGACAGCTCAGGCAAGGGGACAAATAAACCAGGAGCTCTCGGCTGAACTAACTGCTGCACAGTCTGACAAGCGAGTCTCTGGTTTATATCCATACTTTATAGCAGTCTGCATATTCTCCAGTAGAGTAATAATCAGGCTACCTTCCCAATTTTCCCTCGATATTTTCTTGCGGACAGAGCAAAACAGCCTTGAACTCAGCGGGAAACATTCATGGCCCTGGCCATGCTATAATTCTGGATGAAGAAATCTGTCTGATATTGACATTAACTGCAATTTCTTAGCACATTTTCATCATTTCATACTTTAGAAATTTGAAATAGCAAAAAATAATAAATAAAAATTTGAAATAGAAAAAAAAAACGCGTGGAGTCCCTTTATTTTTGGTACCACCAATAAATAGCTAGATATAGCCTTGGATACGTAACAGGCAATCGTTTTCCGTCAGCGACATCGCATTTTTCTCACAGATATCAGTATGCTATGGGATAGAGTTGATTCAACTTTAAACTACAATAAAAAATGGCCAGAAAATTGACTTTGAAAATCCATTTTTACTGCTCTAAAATTGCATCGGGTGCCTTTAACAGTACCTGGTTATTGTCTAGTAGACTGTCTTTAATATTTTCCCCTAGCGGACATGTGACTGTAAGTGCAATTACAACGCAGGCCTTGTAGAACCCAGCGGAAACATTTTGTTCCACTGGCGCTTCCTATGCTTTAAACATAATCTATTCACCGAGGACGTGATGTTGAGTGGTTCCTATCCTTCCCAAGCCGAGACTCTGACCTTTCTGTCTAGCCACAGAGAACCTTGGGCATTAGCCCGGGGTAATTCCGGTAGCAATATTGGAAGGGTGTCAGTGTGTATGTGTGAGTGGTGGTGCCGTTATGTCACAGTGAAGCTTTACAAATTGAAGCACCGGCTACGATGTTACTGAATCACTCAAGGCAAACGTAAGGACATCCTTCATACAACAACAGAGATATTATAACAAGAAGGTTTGTATTAAACAATCGTCTGCAAAAGCTCGTAACGTGTCCATGTCAGAAACCCCCCAGTAAAGAGGATTTGTAACGATATCAAGGATTGTCGATGAAGATTAGACATCCAGGTAATGAGATACACAAGGAAATTGTTACTCAAACAACTGTTGGGTGGATTGTCAGACGTTTCAGGTAGCTAGCATGCACTACGTTTTGTCAGTCAGTGATTGCAAGCTGGTTACAACACTGAGATTGGCGTAAACATAATGAGACAGTCGACAACACAGCATCTATGGGCACGGTTCAAATAAAACGACACGGCCGCTTGTTTTATTTGAACGTACGTCCCCTTCAATTCAGGAAAATGAAAGACAGCGAGCCTGCTGCCATTTGCAAAGAAGAAACTCAACATACACAGGCGGCGTCTGACATGTCTGATCGGCTCTTGTGTTACAGAAATTACACCGCGAGTAATCGTAAACACATGCGGCGGAATTTCTCCGGGATGACGTCTGCTGTGCGGTGCTACAGGCGGGGGTTGGGGAGAAACGATAGCCGTGGATCATACACGAAGGCATCCCCATGGAATATAATAAAGGAAGATGACTACGTTATGATTTACATCACGAGTAGAAAATAATGAGCAAAGGGAAGGTCGATTAGGACGGAACAAATGGCAGTAATAACGCTCCTATCTGTGATGTAATCCCCCTGATGGAGGGAAGCATACGCTTCAATATGACGGAGGTAATTTACAACCACAAACATGTAGGAGATGGGAGGAGCCGCCGTCATGCTACATGGCTGTAATTACTGGTGATACTCTCACACTTACTCCCGAGAGGGTCAATGACCCCAATCAGCAGTCCTCAACACAAAATCTACAACCGATAACGAAGATTTGGCCAAGGTTTTCGAACACAAAAAAGGGCACACGTCAGGAAAAATAACGTAACCCCGTTGTCTAGTGTTGCGGATATTCAGGGAGGTTGTCGGGGATAGATTTCGCGTTCGATAAAATTTCACGAGGCCATTAATTATGGCGAACAACAATATCTCCCTTTTGGAAACTGAAGCTGGGGAGGTAAAAAAAAAACTAGGCCATTTTTCATCCGAAGAGAGCATGTGGTTTGTAGGAATTTTTCACAGATGTATTTACATGTAGGTAACCTCTTGGGTGCCTCACTACTTCAAACGGAGAGGCTGAAAATGCAGGCAGGCGATGCGGTACAGAACTCCAGCCTTGAAATTATGCACGCTCAGTCGATAAATGAAGATGGAGTATCGCTACGGGGGAAAAGGGCTCGATGGTTTATCGTGCATCGCCCCCTGCTAGAACATATGGTTTAATTTCTCTCTGTTTTTCTCAACAAGTTGAAACCCCACTGCTATGTTTTCTCTTCGCCATCTGAAGAATATCTCTACTAGTAGTGAAAAACAAACGGTAGATGGTGCGGGGACACATAGGATGGGTAAACAGGGTATAAACTTACCGCAGTCGTGGTTTCCCAATGTCTCGATGCGACACTTGAAGAGGGCAAGTTCGGACCCGTCACAGTCCATCTCGTCCAGGAGAATGGGTCCCGTTCCCGTGCCGAAGCGGCGAAACTCCCCTCCCCCTCGGTACCCCAGCTGACGGCAGGCGACCGCAGTATCCCGGCTATCCCAGCCATCGTCGCACACGGTTCCCCACGTATCGTTGGCATCCTGCAACTCCAAGCGGCCTTCGTTTAACGTTCTTCCCCCCACCAGCCTGATTCCGAGCCCGAGCCGACTCGATAAATTCCACGTCGCCCCGTGGTCCACCCGGGTAAAGGTTATCCTCTGATCGTCTCGGCCCTGTGCTTTCAGCGCACCGGCAACAAACAAACCCACCCCGGGGCCGAACCGCACCGTAACTCCCGGTTCCACGGTCAGGACAGAGCCGCTGGGAACGTGGATATCCTCCGCCGCGACGTACGGGCTCCCCGCCAGCGTCAGCACCCGAGATCCCGACAAGTGCCCCCCTATTTCCGTCTGGCACGGGCAGCCTCTCCACAACACCAGCGCTACACTCCACCATAGCCACAGCGCGAGTGATGATGCCCGTCTGCCGGAGACTGCCATGATCACACTGCGTCCATTGCTGAGTACGCGAACAGACGCCTGCCAGCGTGCGCCACGCCGCTCTGTAAGAAATGATCGGGGAATAGCCGTGTGCACTTTCCCTCTAGCTCAGGCTTCCCTCAAGCCGGGATGACGCATCTCTCTCACACAGCAATCACGATCGATGAACCAACCAATTCATTGAGAAATGCCTCGCAAACATCCATTAAATGGTCAATTTTAATAAAGGCATGCTATCGTCAGAGGCTAGTAATGACTGCGGCCCTCATGTTGGGCCCTAGTGCCGGGGACTGATGTTGATAACGCAGCACACAGCCCAGTCGGTCGGTCGCGGAGGTACTATTTATGGAGGTCCGTACAAAATTAACGCATACAAGGGATTAGGTTTCACAGGGACAGTCGGAAGACTTGTGGTATTCCAGTGTTACCAGTCGAGAGGGCAGACTCTCCGTGACCTGAAAACCGGAGGAAACCTCGCACTGTTTTAATATATTCTCTCAGAAAAAAACATCAAAATTCTACTCCGTAAGTCTCGCACTCCTGTAGCGTGCGTAAATGTTTAACAAGCCTGCGTGGGGCATTAATGTTTTAACGGGTGATGCAAAGTAGCGACCAACAACACTTGCGCACTCGGATCAACCCACCACCCTACAGAGAGATCGGACCCCGTGGCAGAGTGTTGTTGCCATGTGCTCACAGCTGTACGGTCTACCACTGATTCACAACCGGAGGCCGGGCAGCTATCGCCTGTGGAACTCGCCGAGGAAAACACACACAAAAAAGTATCCCAAAATGTGGCGGAACGTAGACAAACACTTCCTGAGAAATTCCCTTGGCTAGAATCCAGCGTTTGTCTCATAAGAGAGACGTAAGTTTCCTGACCCGGGTCATGTCATGTGGCGGCCCGCCCACACACATGATGCAGCACGGCTCTCTCAGGATCTCAGCCTGTAGCCTCGCGAACAGACACCGTCGTGGCTCCTCGTCATCTTAACGGCGTAAAGAGTGAGAACGCCCACCCAGGCCTCCAACTCAAGCTAGGGTTCACCACGACGGCAGTACCCAGAAAAGCCGGCTGAAAAGATAGACTGCAAAGGCCCTGTGCGAACAAATCGTAGGGCCGAAACACTCCAAAGTTGACCCGTGGAGAATGGCTTAGTACCAGGCTACTTTACTTAGCCTAGACGCAAGTCAGTTGCTTGTCACAGGCCAGCTTGGAAGACGCGGGAATTTTTGGATTGAGCTAGCCTGGGTGCCAGACCTATAGCACACTGGACACAAAGTACTAGTATCTCAGTGCAGTGAGCACGGCTACCAGCAAAAACTACGTATACATGCGTATCATATATACACGTAGCTACTCAACTGTCTACTGTGTCTTTTCATCGATTCTGCATCTAGTGTAAGACAGGTCAGCGCTGACGTAAATGCACGCTGTAAGTGAAGGTCGGTTTCAATCGATACGAAGAATCACCCAATTGGAGCACACAAAGGCCACTGTACCTTTGTAGTGTGTGTCATTACGATCACGTACACACGTCTCATGCAGAAGATGTATTTCTATTCTAGGGCGGCAATAGAAATATTCTGGACGGCAATACAAAATATTCTGGACGGGATAATCTATCTGATATTGACATTTACTGCCATCACATTTTCGTAATAATTTCATACTTGAAGCGTTTGAAATAGTCCAAAAACAAGCTACGCGAGTAGTCCCTTTATTTTTTGGTGCCACCAGTAAATAGCTAGAACCAGCCTACGGTACGAAACGAGCAACCCTTTTCCGTCAGCGACATCGCATTTTTGCCCTTTTATGTTTCATTCAACCTTTTACATTTAAGAAATGACAAGAAAACTGACTTTTCTCTCCAGTTTTACTACCGTCAAATCGCCGTGGGTGCCCTTAAGATGACACGCAGAGATACCGTGAAGGTTAAGTTTGTGGGAATTGATCGATAACCCACATGTAAGGTGACTCCGCTGAGGCTGGTATGTTTATCCCGTATAATACAGCGGATGTTGGATTCTACGAACGTTGCGATCAATCATACAAGAGGCATGATATGGCTATACATGCTTACGCAGAGGTCGGCATTCATATTCAGGGGTTATAACAAGCCTTTTTGACTTTGGCTCGGTCGAAGAACGCACTAGGCCAAAGAGCCATTGATAATCAGAGGGCATAACATGATCGCTTTTATTTTCAATGACTGGTTATGCAGATATCCTGGCAAGAAAATGCGGCGAAAGTTCCATTACCAGTCCTTGGAACTTATCATTGAGCTCCTTTCAAAAATGCATTTTTTACTATGCTACTGGTACATTATATTCAGTAAATTTGTTGTGAATGGGTCATTTAAAAAGTACCCAACCCTAAAAAAAACCCAGCGACGTCCTAAGAAGAAAAAAACAGACACCTAAATTATAATACGCCTTTCATATTTAAAGAATCAAAAGCAACAGATTTCAACAGACTCGATGCTATAGACAGGTTTATATATATTCAAATACATTAATTCTCACAATGTAAAAATAGGTAAATACATAAAAGGCTGTTTTGTTATTAGAAAAAAATAACGAAACTCGTGATTAGCTCTACGTGATTGTATATTGTACTACTGTACCACTTGATGTTTTAGTACCTAGGATGTTAATTTAGTTTCATTTTATACCCTTTTCTTTTTGTACTATGTTCAATAGTCGTTGATACATTGTACCATGTACAATAGTCGTGCAATGAAGTTCTTCTTTTGTGACGATCTCCATAGCCATTCTCAGCTATTTGGTGGGTACGGGAACAAATTTGAGACGCCACACACAGCTTCTCATCTTGACTACCACTGATGATGACATTATTCAGGCTCTGTGCTCGCCGACCTGCAGCCTTTATCTCGTGATCACCTCAACCACTGACTGTACCGCGCCATGCGATGGTCGGTCGCGATTTCATTCAAGCCGTCAGACCATGAAAGATGAAAAGGGCAAGTATCGTAATCTCCAAGCAGATATTTTTGTGGCTGCGCTGCAAGACGGTATCAAATGGGCCAGGCAGCTATCATTTGCCACCCTAAATGAACCGTTTGGCTGTCGAAAAAAAAGATACATTTTGTACCAGTGCAAAAAGAAAGTCCGATAAAATGCCTCTACTCAAGACACATTCATATATATGGTCAGACAGGAGTATAAATCCCTCCTGCTATAAAATTGCAACATGATGTAACCCAACACTAGTTACCATGGTAACAGACAGTCTGGTTCATGTCATTGACATTTTTTGGTTTGGAGAGGAAGAAGAAGAGGAAATGTAGCAAAAACAATGTGTCTTCCTTTAGTAAACATAATTAAAGGGGGGCAGCTATAGTGTCTTGACTGCAGACGCACCTTCACAGATTTAAGAAGCAAGCGTGACAAAACACCATCTATGTTCACTATTCCTCCCACGGCACAGATGCCATTTTAATGATTTAGGGCGCCCATACATTAGCAGCATCTATCTGAGATAGGGGATTATGATATCTCTCCCCTGCCTCCCTCACACAGAATTGAAACCATGTGCGTCCTGTCAGAGAACAGTGTTTGGGTAAGATGCCACCCCCATTATAACAATTGGAAAGCGGCGATATGGAAAAGGTCATTTGGATTGCGCACATCGGCTGAGGTGGGTCGCATCATCTGGAACGTTTTTCCACCCGGTGAATCTTTCTTGTCAAAACTTGACATCCATCCTGGATAAAGCTTTATGAACGTGCCGCCTGGCGCTGAGAAACGAGATGGAATCGATTAGCAAAAATCCGTCCCCGGCGTAAACACACATACTTTATACAATTATGAACGCCCCCGCTTCTTCACCTAGACCTGGGTTATCGTCATCATGTCAGCGAGTGCGATCAATATATACGTCATGTGTTTTCTGGATTCATGGAATACCTGGTACAAAATATACACATGCAGACACAGGCACCCAACGCAATTTCATGGCAGTAAAATTGGATTTTCAACGTCAATTTTGTGGTCATTTTTTAATGTAGTAAGTTGAATGAACCCTATTCCGTAGCATACTGATATCTCAATCTGTGAGGTAAAAATACGATGTCGCTGACGGAAAACTGTTGGTTGTTTGCTACCACAGGCTGGTTCTAGCTAATATTGGTGGTACCAAAAAATAAAGGGACTTCTCACGTAGCTTTAAGTATGAAATTATGATGAAAATGTACTAAGGAACGGCAGCGAATGTCAATATCAGACAGATTTCCTCATTCAGAATATCTTTTTTGTATTGCCACCCTAGAATTGCATCTAATGCCTTAAACTACCGTACGGTACTAATAATTTCTTTTAAAAGCAAACATTCTCTCATAACACAGGGTCTTCATCAGCACAAATAATTGTCACAATTGCACAACGTGTTATAAAAACAGCTTACATATAACCTGCTATGATAAGACACCCGAAAACAGCGTATACGTACTTCGGTGATTACAGAATTATGAGTAACACGGACTTAAAAGCATTCTTTAACGACACTGTTACACATGTCCTGATTAGTACAGTGAGTAATGGGCGATGGCATCCAGGTCAAAATACCTGACGACAATTTGTAAGTACAACTTTAAAGCACTTCCCGTCCACATTAACATTTACACAGTTACTGAGTTAGAGTAAACAAATTACTCCTGTAAGCTGTGGTGGTTTACCAGTATACAGCATTAATAATAATTCTTAACACGAGAACATAGACATGTATGTAATGTGACCCATAAAATATATAAACTCGCTTTTTTCTACACTTCTTCTTCACTGTTGGCAGTTCCTAGCCTCTACCAGGCACCTCGGATCACTGGAAAAATAGTAGAAATTGCCCAAAATAAAGGAAATAATATACGAGGGGAGAGAGGGTACATTTTGCGACCCAAGGATGCGGCAAATTGTACTCTCTAGCGGACCAACTCCACTGGCGTGTTATCTCTCTATTCGGCGAATTTCTTCTCTTTCCAGCAAATTAGCCAAACTAAAGGGAATAGTAAACCAGGCGAGACAGGGTACATTTTGCGACCCACGGATGCGGCAAATTGTACTCTCCAGCGGACCAACTCCACTGGCACTCTATTTGGCCAATTTCTACTCTTTCCAACCGCCTCCCGAAGCCTGGTAGAGGCTAGGTAGTTCCCAAGGTGATGCCAGCAAAACTGTTGTAAGCACACCGGCCGTTCCCCCTTATAGGGTCAGACAGCCCCATAGCTGCCGTGTTTGTTTTGAAAAGCTCCAAAGTTGGTCGTTACGGTCTGAGGAAGTTCCCACTAGAGACAACGCCTCTGTTGTTGTTTTAAACACAGAGGTGTCTGGTAGTGGTAGGATATACCCTAAGGCACAGGAATAGACTTGGAGGGAATGTATACACAAAACACCGTAAATCTGGTGCCATCACTGCAGGCAACGGTCTGGCCTGCAAGACATGGTTGTTTTTCTGTCCCTGAGTTATACATAAGATTTCATTTATTTTAAATCACACTTTCATCCGTGACTGCTTTTCAACAGGTGGGCACATAAAAGTTACATACACAAGAAATAAAAAAACAAATTACATTGCCATTAAGCAAATAATAACGTACATCTCAGACTGAAAACAATTAAAGCTGAATACTATTTCAGTGCGTTTTTTTAAAAAAAAGCAGTTGCGGTGGTAAGTTGCCTTTGCCCACTAGAGAGTCCAACAATACAGGTGAAAAATAAACTGCATCTTCGGCGAGGATGTAGATTCGTATTTTCAATTTCAAGATGATAGATGATATGCCGGCAAACTAGTCATTTGTCTATTTGGCCCATTTCTACTCTTTCCAGCCGCTTCCTGAAGCCTGGTAGAGATTACCAATAGGCTACCGATTGGACCGGCTGTCACAAAATGTTACATAAAAGAAGGTTATAATCTTCCCAGTCAACCTTTGAATGGAGGCCAATTGATGCCCCCATAAAACTACACAATACTTTCATCCACTTATGTATGCACTTAATTGCTCCTTATTGATTGGGGCTGTTCTGGGACGATAAACCAAAATAAAGGAGGAATGTCTAATAATTCTAAATAACTGACATATTACATGGAATAAGAATATGATTGGTAGGTGTTCCAAAATTGTCATCTTGTCTCATATTTTGCTTTATCTAGAACTGCCTTTACCTCACCCACAAATTTGTAGCTTTAAAATTTTTGCAGTAAAAATATACTTTTTCCTTGCACGGAAGTTCATCTTGGTTAACATATTTTTTTCTAATTTTCTGATTTTTTTAATTTCATTTTTTTCTTCATTTTTTTCACTATCCAATAAACTATCTCTGATATGCACAATGCCAGTCACTTTCAGCTTTCCTTGCTTCCAAAACCTGTTATATCAAGCTCGCTATTTGATAGCTCCTGTGACCTTTCCCTAGAACTGTCCTTGACCGTACAAGTGTGTTGGTTACTGAATGCGTTGCCATGGTCGCCGCTAACGCGCCACGATGGTTTGTTTCTCCACCAGTTTCCTGAACATGCCCGAGGGGATGGCCATGAGGGACTCGTAGCTTCCCCGCTCCACAATGCCTCCATTGTGTAAGACCGCGATGGTGTCAGCGTTCTTGATGGTGGAGAGCCTGTGGGCGATGGTGATCACCGTCCTGCCGATCATCAGCCTCTCCAGGGCCTCCTGCACCAGGGACTCACTCTCTGCATCCAGTGCGCTGGAGGGAGAGAGAGAATTAGCCGGCTGTCAGTCAACTTTGATGTACGGAATAGGAGAGATTACTGCTAGGACCCGCACAGGGACCACATCGATATTGCACTGACTGTCTGAATATTGTCCCCCAAACGACCAGGAAAACGTCAAAGGATGAGGTATATGTAGGTCTGAATATCAGGGTAAAAGAAAATGTTGAAAAATATGAAAAAAATGAATGACAAAAGTTGCGAACCCTCTTTGTTTAATACCTGAAATGCAAAATATAGCTACATATACTAGTAGCTACAATTTGAGTGACTCATTCACCATTATTTGTCATGCTTCACAATCTCATTATGACCTTTTGTGTACTCCAATAACATGGAAATCATTGTTAATTTAAAAATGATTTAGCATCATCATCAGCAAACTGAAAATATGTAAATGCATATGTGTCTTACAGGTTCTTCAGGACAAACATATTAAAGAAGGATGTAGATTTCTTAAGGTTCACAACCTGTAAATAGAATTGGCAGAAGCCTATTTTGATCAAGCTAACAGATAATTAAGGCAAACAGACATACCTGGTAGCTTCATCTAGCAGCAGGATCCTGGGATCCTGTAGAGTCAGATAAGATAAGGTTGTGTCAGACTGTACATGTAGGCGAGTGATGGCCATGGGGACCACCAATAACCAAGGCTTTGTCCTGTCATCTCAGGCAGCACAAAGGCCAGTCATTAGACCACCAGGCATGCAGTCAATCAAACTCCAATTATACCTCTAGCAAAACTGATGTCTGATGCGGAAATCTGACAATAGGCCGCTCAATGGAACTGCGGTTGGAACAGCTGCGAATTTACTGCTGCGTTCTTCCCACTGATGCATTTGGATTTCTCAGCATTGATTTTATTACACTCTTTTGCCAATGCTGTACTGCATGTCCAATATAGTACATCTACAATGAAATTGCACTTACACAAATGAATCAAGAGTGGATATACCAATACTTGCCACCTGTGATTCCAAACAATAGCAAATATTGCTCACTCAAGGAAAATTTAGACTTACCTTTATCAGTGCCCTTGCTATTGCGATTCTTTGTCTCTGGCCACCTGTGATACATACAGAATCTGCAATTAGCCAATATACAAGAGGCCCTCCCAGTGTGTGTGCTGTGCATGCAAGTGCCTTACTGCAGTACTCGGGGACAAAAAAGCGCACACGTCTGACAATCACTCGGATGCTGCAACAGTCAGTGGGATCGATGCTGGGGAATTAATGGTTGACCGAAATGCAGACTTTTTGAGCCCATTCATTTTTTTTTAGACTGGACTCTTTTGTGGTACCCACTTGGAGTAATACAGAAATGAGACTGGGAAAGTCAACTTTCCTTATCGCACCTATATTTGGTGCATAGGGTGGCACCCATCTCTGTCTCTGTGGCCTTGGGCCAAATACATTGTACATGTAGTTGTGAAATCACTACAGCAGGGGGCTAGACTGTCCACTGGTAGTGGTAGTGATGTGTGTTTAACTCCCATACTCCTTCCCAAATTCTGAGTGCTAAGCAGAGAAAGCTGTATGAAATGTACCAGTATCAAATTTCATGACTCAAAAGTCATGACTCAGCCAAGGATCCAACTCACCACCTACCAAATGCAAGGCTATAACACTCTACCCTTGGCCATTGCACCTGTCTGTGGGTAAAATGTGGGTATAACAGGCCTAACAACCCACACCAGATGGCTCACTTTGCCCTCAATACCTGTCCACTCATGACGGATTGCAAACTAAAATGTTTGAAGCACCAAAAGGCAACAACCTTGACCCTGACAGAGGTACCCAGCCTACACAGCTCTGAAATGACTGGCATCTCTTCAGGAGGCAACATTGGAAGCTGCCTAATTGACAGGTCAGGTCCCTGAGGAGTCTGATTTTTATTGGCGGGAATGTCGAGCCTTCCTGGCCGATGCACACAGAGCCTGATTACTTCTTACCTGGTTTTCCCTTGTGCTTTGCATGCAGCCCCACAGACATGTCAGACTCAATAACACTCTGATGCTCCATTATGTATTAACATCAGGCAGACGATATCAGTAAAACAGGTAATTACTATAATTTACTTTATGTACTCAGTAGCAAAATTTGCCGGTCTGAGAAAAATGGACATGTTTGCGGAACTATACGTTCACAGTGGCGGCAGGTGCAGCAAAAAGAAAGCAAATCTCTTGTTCATGGTAATGATAAGTTTGCAGTACAGAAGTGAAAATGGCAAATATAAACGTACTGCCAAAAAAAATTGTGATTTACTGTATTGAGTTTTTTCTCTCCACTGCATCTTGCCCTTTTTCGTCCAAGATTAGATGTACACGTATATGGAGATTCACAAACCACACTTTCTAAACCCTCTCTGATCTAGTAACAGAAATTTAAGGAGGGAAGAGGAAGCAATTAAGTCATTGATGTTTTGTGTCCAAAAAAATTGCATGAAGTTAGTGTCTGTTCATCTGTGGAATTGGGGTGGCTCAGCTACAGACATGTAGGGATTGGTCATTACATTAATCCTTTCAGTGTCACCGGCCAATCATAAATCCCCATTCTAATTAATTTAACCTGATGCTACAGTAGGGGAAAGGTCAACATCATGTATCCTTCTGGACTTTCTCAAAGACAAGGTCCTGTGATAGTTATCAGACCAGTAGAGACTGATTGAGGCTAACACATGCTGCTATTATCTGATGATCAGTCTGCCCAGACAGACTTTCTATTTCCCCAGGAGTAACCTCATTCTCAAAGGACCATGACCTCATGACCCTAATTACACTGACATCACCAGAACGAAGAGGGCCTGCATGCCCATTTTCGTAAGGCGTAATCAGGCCTTTTTAGTCTTCGTAATCCGTAGGCAGCCACCCAAAATCATCGAAATTCGTAATCAGCACATTAGCTGTAAAGCCACGTAACTGTTCTGAGAATTTAGCGTGATTCGTAATCGGCAGTGAAAATTTTGTGTAATTCGTTATTGCCATCCCCCAGATGCAGGCCCTCAGTAAATCCCCATTCTAAGAATTAGGTGAAGCAAAAAAATCCCAGAGCTATTTCACCTAAGATTAAAAAGACATATCTGAAGTAGTAAAGCAAGAAATACACAGCTTGATATACAGGGAGATTGTGAACAAAACTTTGTGTTGCTATACATGTTTTGGTATCCTTTTAATCATGTACATGTACACCTTGTGTAAAGTGTATGCTAGACATTGTGCCTGTAGCAATGTCTTATTGAATACAGGTGTATAGACAAGGATTATATGCACGATACATTATAATCCCTTTAGCCATGATGATTTATCCAATTATGGAGCTGGCGGTAAAATGGATTTGCATTTTGACGGGAAAAATTAATCATTTTATCATACTTAATCTGTCTCAACGGAATTCATGTACATAAGCTACTAGTATATAATGTCATGTAAATGCATTAAGTAGACTGTGATAGGCATGTACGTGATTTATGCAGATTCCATGGATTTCAATACAGAAGTTGTGTTAAAGAAAGCATTATTATGTAATACAAGGGCAATACAAAATGTCAATTTTGTGGAAATTCCGTTACAAATTAAGTTGACTCAATCCTAACCCATGACATACTGCCATTCAGGGAGTGAAAGTTAATAAATATGATGCCAAACTAGGCAGTTTGTGATCTGGAAACTTAACAAATCTTTGTTTACATTCTTAAGGCCACACCAATTTAATTTGTTGGTTCTCGGATTCGCCTCTTCGTTTTTTTCTGATTTGAAAAAAAAAAAAAATTGATTCTGGTCCTGAATCAACTGAAAAATGCTCATATTTTGCCCCCAACAGTTGAGGAAAGTCCTTTCTTCCTAGTTGTTACAGTTTTCCCATCTATCAATGCAGTGGTTTGATTAAAAGTTCAAAATTCAATGTTTAAATTTTAACCCAGCCTTTTGTGTTGACTTCATGCCTCATTCCGTAGCATTTAAGCCTATAATAGGATGCCTAGACCTGTTTTTATTTTTATTTTTTTTTCGCCCTGTCGCTTCATATTTTTTCTGAAAAAATCCGAGAACCAACAAATTAAATTGGTGTGGCCTAAGGTGTGCATTTTGTGATGGTGACACAAAATCAGTGTGCCGAATGTAGAATGCTTGTGCACTAACCATGAAATGAAATGTGACAAAATGTGACAAAATGGCACAAATGTGTAGAAAAGTGGTATTGAATGGTATTCACATAAAGATTTTTTCTGTCAAAAACATTCTGAAATTTTGGCACAAAAATATTACATAATGCTGCTTAACGTGTTGCTTAGGCCTAGGAAAACGTTGTATTTCCTGTTTCAGTCCTGAAAAAATTAGGGTCGGCACAATGTAGGTAGGGATTATCTTTTCTTGTCTTCTTTCTTTTTATAATCTGGCAATCTCTAGTGATCCAACATACATGTATACAATATAGTTTAACAAAGTAAAACTTGCATGAGCACAGTCTGATATAGTCAATGTCCAAGTTTGAAAACCCACTGTACAATGTTTCATCACGCAGGTGTCAGATCATGAGGCTACATGTAGGAAAGATCGATCAGCTCAAAAAATTAATGTTCCTTGCAGGGGTCCACACAAAAAAAGGCTAGGTTCGGCAGCTTTTTCTAGGGTTCGTAGGGAAACAGGAAATACATTTTTTTCCTTAGGCCTTATTGCTACTCTCACCTGAAAGCATGATGCCTCTCTCCCCGACGACTGTATCAAACCCATCAGGGAAGCTCTGGATGAAGTCTAAGGCGTTGGCCTCCTGGGCTGCCTGGAGGATCTTGTCCATGCTCACGGCAGCCGGCTCGGCCGCTCCGTACGTGATGTTATCCCGGATAGAGCAGGAGAACAGGATCGGCTCCTGAGTCAACAGGGAGGGGATTGGTCAAATAGGTAAAGGCACAATATGGAGGTAAAAGTACTGTAAATCACGGTTTTGCTGCGACCGGGTGGAGTGAGGAAAGTTGTGTTAAGTGCCTATCCCAAGGACACAACGTCCTACTGAGTCATCCAACACCATTGACAATATTGTATCAAATTATTGTCTTGCTTTCGTCACATGCAAATAAATAAACAAAACAGTGTTGTCTGTATAGCGATACATATTGTATATAGGAAGCTATTTCAAATACAGAGCTATCACTTACAGACTTAAACATCCTGAATAGCAGTACATTTTTATTTCACTCCATACTTAAGTATGGAGGGAAATACTGTTTTTACTGATGATTCTCCTCCTCCTTCTTCTTCTCCTCCTGCCATTTCTTTAAATTGATTCAATTCCTTCATTTTTGGGCCAAACGACCTGGAATTTCGTATAAAGGTAGAGTGGGTAAATACCCCTAGGCGTTTTTTTATTTTTTTTGATACAAGCTTTTACAATCGTTTTATTTGCGTTTTTAGCTGTTCCCATAGGAAAGTACTGTGGGGCGTACGCGCGTGACGTAATAAGAAAGGAATTTGGGGGCGGGCCCAAATATGGGCATGCAAGCATGAACCTGACGCAGCCTAATCTTTTCTTCTTGCTGATTGGCTGTTGGATTTGATTGGATTAACTCAATTAACACCTGTTCAAAGCCATTCCATTTTGACAGTATGAACTCAAGTGTTTTGGTAGGTACAGCACAGGCCACGAAATACGCATCAATTTTCGAGGGACGTTCTGCGGGAGAGTGCAGGACGCTGTGCGGGACTTCCCTCGGGAGAGTGCGGGACGTCCTCCGGGAGAGTGCGATACGTTCTGCGGGAGAGTGCGGTACGTCCAGCGGGAGAGTGCAGTACGTTCTGCGGGAGCCAGACATTTTGCTCTTCTCTGTTGGAACAACGCAAGTTGGAGGTCAATGACCTGCGCCCGGCGTGTAAACAAGATTGGACAGGGAGCGGCTGTAATATCAAAGGAGCCGGCGGCTTCTGCTAGCCGGGTTGATAGTTAAGTAACATCAAGGTGGTTCAAAAGCAAACCTGATAAAGAAGGAAACCCCGTAGTTAATAGTTGAAAGTCTTGGTGGCTTGAGGCGATCGATACCGCCATGCTGTTTACTTTATATGACATACAATGCAGTGAGTGATGTGTATCGCAACGAGTTAGCTCGGTTGGTAACGCGCCAGACGGCAATCCCAGAAATTGTGAGTTCGAACCCCAGTGCATCGGATATTAACATTTTAAACAATTTTATAATTTTTAACAATTTTATCAGTTTTAACAATTTTATCAGTTTTAACAATTTTATCAGTTTTAACAATTTTAACAATCCTGCATTTTAACAATTTCAACATTTTTTTATTTATTTTCGTTGTTTTGCTTTTAACATTCAAAAACTGATTGTTCTTACTCAAGAATGTCAATAACTTAGAATGTTAGTCTTTTGTATTTTTCCAACATACAAACCAAAATCACTTTGATGTTGTCACAAAAGTATGGAGCTGACAAGAGAGAATGAGTACGGTACTCTGCCAGTGTGAAGAATCTACAGAGGTATTACCAGTCACTAGTAGCAAGAGATAGACCACATTGAATGATGACGATGAGGACGAATCATATGGAGTACTATCATAGCTTAGTACAGAAATTCTACTGCTTTACTTTACTTTACTTTCTTTCACTCTGTACATGCAATTAGCTCACTGGCATGATTTTAAAAATAAAGGTTATGATAATCATATTATATGTATAGCTTATTCAATGTATGGCTTCATAGTTTATGTGATTGTTAATAAGGCCATGTTGATTTGATTGTATGGATGGCATCTGTGCGCGCATCGGTTTTCGTTAATTTAAAACTAAGTTTACGACATTCATACAAAACATCTGGAAACTAAGCAAACATACTCTGTAAATTGATTACTGTAATTCCCGATTTTTTCACTGTACCGCAACGTAACGCAAGCAGGAGGTCAATGTTCACGGTTTTCACTGTCACCTCTGTACCGTGAACTTATCTTTACAGTTAGGAAATAATTCCTGGACTTTCTTTTTCCTGCAACTGTCACCACCGTGAATATATAGTTCCGTGAACATGTCCATGTTTCTCAGACCGTGAAAATTTTGCTACCGTTAGTAGTAGTTGCAATTTCGTCATTAGTAGTATTTAGATACCTGCAATATGTAACTTTGAAATTGAGATAAGTGTAAAGTAAAGCTGTCGAGATTTAAAGTGCTTGTCGTTGTATCTTTGTAAAAAAAAGGGAGATAATGGCCAAGTGCCATTTTTGTAAATATCTGTCGAGATTCAAAAAGCTTGTCCTTGTATGATTGCAGTATGATTTATTCAGAATCTTCTATTTTTGTATGGGGAGGGAGATGGAGTGAAATATTACATTTGCTCCGAAGCAAATGTTGGCCTTTCTAGTTACATTATGTATTGACTACCAAAGCCACGCAGCTATAGTTTTACATTAAGATATGTTCTATGATGCCTATCAATATCTCTTCCATGAGAATAACATATCTTGTACAACATATGTATTTTAGAGAAGACTCTAGATAATTATATCTCATGCCACATATAACTTCAACAGCTGATCATATATTTTAATATGGAGGGGAGACCTTTAATAAACATATTCAGTATCGAACACCAAAAGTATCGATCTCAAAAGGGCAGCAGACCCAATACTTCCATATTCAGTCTAGCCAAAAAGAGATTAGTGTTGGCAGCTGCCTTGACCACAGCCCACAGGGGTCAGAAGGGTAGTAGGACAGAAACACTGAGCCAACACAATCTACAGTCAGACCTACATGTACATGTACCTACGTACGTTATTGTAGGCTAGATGCCAGACCACACATACACTAATAATAAGCAAAATCTAGACTTTTTTCAGACAAGTATGTTCTGAAAGGCCAGACAGTGTTTTTACTAAAGGATAAACTATATTATATACTTTGCTTCACAGTTTTTAAAAAGTTGTCTTTTATGGTAAAGCCTTTGTTTGTTGGTCCATCAAATATCATATTTCATCTGAATGCAACAACAATTCCATATTTGTAGAGTCAGCTTCATCATGCAATAGGAAAAGGGCAAATAAATTTGAAATTGAAGAATGAACATGATTGATGTATGGAGTGAGATTATAAAAAAAACAATTGGACGGCAAAAGGAATTTCATCTTATGCTGGATTTTCATTAGCTGCATTGAAATTGTCACCACATATGAAGTGTAAAAGAAATAATGACAATGGTTTCTGAACAGTTTTCAGTGGGATTCATACTTCCTAAATGCTGAGAGGTGCAGGGAAAATTTGTCTGGTGCAGGTAATTTTAATGTTATACCTGCACCAGTATTTCGAGCCCTGGACATTCAGTCCATCTCTACGTTATTGGGTTACATTTCCCCTCATGTCCTTGTACTATCTTTACTGGCAGGAAACCTGATGTTAATTTAGGCAGAGGTGGGGAAAACACTGCTGGTAATGCGGACCTGGTGACTTACTTGACTCACGGTGCCCACGTAGGTCCTGAGCCACTGTGGATTCAGGTTCCTGATGTCTTCTCCATCAATAGTGACTGAACCTGCAGTTGTGAGACAGGAGCAGCAAAATGGCATTCAAAATGGAAGACAGAAGAAAAATGTCCAGACTATGCATGATGTACAAAATGACTAATAAACTGGTGGACGTCCCAATCACTAAGTACCTAATACCAGCCCAGAAGAGAACAAGAAACAGCCATGCCTTCAAGTACCAGAGTTATCAACCAAGGATTGAGGTGTTCAAGAATTCATTTTTTCCTAGAACTATCACAGTGTAGAACTCGCTGTCACCAAGTACAGTAAGGGCATTGCCATTAGATAGCTTTAAAGAATGTCTAGAGGTAGATGTCCAAGGGCTAGGTGTCACAAGTCGATCGGTGTGATGTAGCCAGCTGCTGCCGCGCCGCGTGCCTGCGAAGCTGGTGTGTTACGCCGAAAGGCGGTTATACCGGCTATACAGATACAACTTTGCTGTTGACCTTACTTATTACTAGACTTCTGCATGCCTTATTTTCTAAGGTGTATAATCAGGCATTTTAAATCTTCGTAATTTATAGACAACTGCCCAAAATCAGCATAATTCAAGCCTTGTGATTTCACGAAATTTGTAATCAGCTTGGAGAATTTAACGGAATTTATAATTGGTGGTGAAAATTTTGCGTAATTTGTAATCACGACGCAGGCCCTCTACGATACATAAATATAGATCACACTAGAATTACTGTAAATCTTTAGATGTTTGCGGTGGTTTTATTTTTGTGGGATTTTTGCAGTGTCCTCTTCATATGGCGAATTCATGTCACCACGAAATATACATGCATTGTGTACTACTACTACTGAATTGTATCAACCAGGGATTTAAAACACTACAAAAACCTTTACTTGTTTACAATACTAGTTTACAGTAGCCTTAGTTTATAGATGGCAGCCTGCATGGGGGGGGGGGGGGGGTCCCGACAACGCTCTACACCGAATACGGAAACCTCTCGATTACACTTTACGATAAATTCCAAGTAGCTACAACGCATTACGTAGAATTAAAACAGTGAATACGCTCTACGCAAAATGCGCCAATTACGCTCTACGTTGAATTAGAGTGGTCCGTCTACACTCTACGTAGAATTAAAAACGGCCGATTACGCTCTACCGAAAAGGGCGTGCAGGCCCCCACAAATGGGTGGGACATGATTGGTAAGGTCAGGCAAGAATCCGACCAATGACAGTGAGTTAAATAACTACTCAGAAGGGCAACCTTTTGACATGACATTAGCCATGGCTATACCAGCGCAGCAGGAAAGGTCAGGAGAGGAAATGACATCAATTCCCTGGAATTGACCTTCAGTGATTGAGGAGCAGCAGCATACTAAAGGGTCTGCATGCTGTTTTCAGTAGGTATTTGCAGCCTAGTTCTCCCAGGCTTCTTAGGCAGCCTAGTTTTGCCATCCCATGAATGCAATAAACAGTCTGATGAACTTGTTCACAGTTAAAAAAAAAAACTTTCGCAAGAACAAGTTTATTTACCATTAAGTGTTGTCGGTTCTCCTGAATTTACTGCTAAGCGTTGCCAGCCCTTGTAAGAGGGCTTGCATGCCCTTTATCGCACTTGGCATAATCAGGCCTTTTTTGTCTTCGTAATCTGTAGTCAGCTGCCCAAAATCATTGTAAATGTGTAATCAGTACATTATCTGTAATAATCATTGTTTTTGTTCATAATCAGCTCTGAGAATCTAACGTAATTCGTAATCGGTTGCGAAAATTTTGTGTAATTCGTATCACTACCCCCCATGCAGGCCCTCTTGTAAATTTAGGGTTGTAAGTGATGCCAAGATTCCCCATTCGGACCCTCATACTACCTTGGTTTGGATCATACAGGCGGAGAAGCAGGGATCCCAGGGTGGATTTTCCTGATCCGCTGGATCCCACCACGGCAGTGACAGATCCGGCCGGGACAGAGAGGTCGAGGTTGGAGAAGACTTGTACATCGAGTCGGGAGGGATACGCAAAATGGATGTCGTTAAACTTGATGGCACCAAGCACAGAGGCGGCAGTGGGCACATGTCCAACTGAAGGGAGAAAATGCAATTAAAAATAATTAACTTCTTTACCAAAATGCAATTAAAATTTAATTTCTTTCAAAAAAATTTATTTGTCATCAATTTGCTTGACTGTCATCATATCTTAACTCATGTCATCATATCTGGGATGCGATAACGTTCGATATGGGTGTTCCTATGTGACAACTTGGATTATCACACGGGCTTCCAACAGTCCCATAGAATAAAATAATTTGAATGCGTTTCATGTGTGCCTCTTTCAAAATTCCAAATACAAATACCTGATGTGGATACCTGATACAGAATTATATAAGATGCCAAACTATTGTCAAGCACAACTTAAATCTTACCGGTGTTAAAAAAAATCATACACACAGTTATTTTTACAAAATTGTAGATTACCAGGTTATATCTTACCATCTATTGCTATTTCTGGTTTCCTGTCCACCAGCTCCCAAAGTCGAGAAGTCGCTCCGATGGCCTTCATCAGTTCTGAGTAGAAGGATGTCAGACCTGGGGAGGGAACAGTAGTAGTATTATTATAGTATCCAGTCTTTGATTATATTGTTTTAGGGGTCCCTCAAATAGGGGTGGGTAGCAGTTGACAAGTACATGTACCCCCAAGTAGTACATTGGAAGAACTTACTGCCCCAGCTGCATGAAACCTGTATTGTGAACAGCACTTTTGCAGAACGTCTCTTTTAAGCGAGTATCTAAGGATGACATCCTATCTATAGTTTTCAAATGTTGTGTTGGAAAAGATATAATCTGTATCGTGAAAATTCTGATGCAATGTTGACAAAACATCCAATGAAAAACATGAAAAATTTGGGTTTCGTGAAGGCACAGTATGTTCTTCCAACATGCTTATTGAAGTAGGCTTTATGCAAGATAAAAAGCCAATCTCTCTCTAGTGTGATTGTTCACATCATCGTTGCAGACATTTCTTGTATTTGTTTTACTTTATTTGTTTTTCTTTGAACCAAATGGCTACCAATTCTGTATTGGTTACGGGGTTAGACATCAGGGAGAAGGTTAATATGCCCCACATGTGACATTCAACCAATTTGTCTACAATTATGTATCATTTTGTATGACTACAAGAAAAGTGGTCTCCATGTGGTGTAGTGGGCTGTGCAAATTGTGCTACTAGCTATATCTGGTTCAAATTCCATGGAGTCAGTGGCCTGGATTTGCACCAGGGTCTGGACAAGACTGGAAAAGAGTTGCAACACCTTGTCCTAACAAATGTTTAAAAGGAAAGTGATCTCGATCCAGTTTTAGCTCTCACTGAAGAGCTACTCTAGATCTTCCACTTATAATTAAAAAAAAAAGTTATTGGTCGTTACAGAGAAGACAGACGCTATGTACAGTATTTACAGGTTCATTGTACCGGGAAACTCTCCAAGCTCTTTTCGACAAGTACAATGTTCAGTGGACAACAGATTAATGTTCCATCTTAAGGGCTGAGACCCTTTACAGTAGCAATTTTGCATGTTGGGTGAGCGACAACAGCTGGGATTTGAACTCCAAACTTCTTGGTCTAGAGGCAGGGGGGTCCCTAACCACTGGACTAAACGATTTGTCCACCAGTCTCTCATTCAGTCTGAGGTTGACCAATTTATCTTTTTATAGTGGTAGAAAGACATTTTTTTCAGCGTTCAGCAATATTGCAGAATGTCACAATTTTGTTCTGCAGTTCAGAAATACTTTCTGCAAACACACAATTATATTCAGAACCTAAACCCATGGCATTTTATACAAAATTGCATTTTGGCAAACATGTTACATGCAATTTCAAAAGTACATGCAAAATTACTGGTATATCATAGAGTCAATTGTAAACACAAAAGTTCTTAAAACAATATTATGCCAACACCATTGAACTCTTACCTAGATACATGTATATATTCAGTCTGCAAAATTTCAGGTTGTCTTATTTTTCTCCTGCTAACGTTATATATATTGAAAATGTCTCTGCAAAATGCAGACTGCAGGAGGGTATTTCTAACAGTATTTTAGAAAGAAGAGTCTGCCTACCTCCCAGAGACATAGCCACCCATCCGGTGTACATTAGGAAGGCAGACAGGTCTCCCACAGTGATGTGTGCACTTTCCATCATCATGCCTCCTCCATACAGAACTGACAGGACCACAAGGTTCCCTGCCATCCCCATCTGGTGTGTGGCAGAAAAAAGGAGGTCAGTAAGGCTTGACTTGCAGAATACTTCTTACTGGTATCTTGATTTTAAGCTCAAATTTGATTTGTAAAGGAACTGCACCGTCCTGTTGTTGCACACAGTGAAGCCATAGTCTTATGGCTCAGAAGTCACAAGAGCATTAAACAGTAAAGGTGCGAAGATGGGTGAACACAACTTAAGTCCTTATGGTAAAACATCAATGAAAATCCTTCTTTTTCATGAAAATTTTGGTCCAGTTTTGGAGACTCCTGGGCTAGAAGAAACCGATAGGGTCTTATACTCTTATTTCCTGCGTTGGTCAAGTTTTGGCGATTTCAGCAGTCTAGTGGCCGCAATGAGAGATCTGAGTGGTTACAATGTAGGTCTTGCATGCACTGATTAGATGGACACAGAACAAATTGGGGTCAACGTACTGTAGGACTTGTTTACTGTTGTCAGCTGTTCTGGACATTTGAGCTAGTCAACCCCTGCTTTCTTTGTATATTTGGGAGGCAGACCTTATTTGTGAGTTTCTGGTGCAGAAGATTTTTGGAATTGAAATGTGGGTAAGGAATTTTCTGAGGAATGGCCAAAAATAATCTCAACAGTACATTTCAACATTGACCACTAAAAAAGTGGGCTTCTTGATACTTAATATGTACCAGGTCCTGTATATGGGGGGGGGTCAAAATGTGTACATTGTACATCTATGATCTCATGTTCATAGTGAGGGTACACAACAAATGTAATGTACTTATTATCATTATAAGCAGCATTAACTTAAAAAGTTTCAATTTAATGATGTTTGTCAATGCTGTAGTAAGCCTGGGAAGCTAGTGTTCAGCATGGAAGCCAGTTGAATTTGTTCACTAAACTACAGCCAAAGAAAATTTAATCTAGTAATAATACAAACATAAACAATTACAATAAAAAAGCAGCACATTAAATGCACCCATAACAAGTAATGCATTGGAAAAGCTCTTTGATGCCATTAGCATTTTGACTTTGAACATCAGTCCTACCGATCCAAAGAAGGCGGCCTTTGCCAAAGATTCCTGCTTGGCAAGGTTGACGACGGTGGCAATTTTCTCGGCGTATCTTTCACACTCATTGTCCTCTTTGGCAAAGGCCTTGACTGTGCGGATGTTGCCTATCTTCTCTTCTGCTACCTGACAAGAGGATTATGGCATGTAAGTGTGCACACACGTAGTAAAACACCACAGGGCATATGCAAGATATGACACGGCACATTGCAACCGTCCCTCACACAGACGGGGGGCGCCACAGACTCTCTGCAACCTATGATCCTTTGCTCACCGAGTGTGTCATCTGCATAACTAATGCTCATTCCTTGACAAAGACAGTGTATTTGTACATTTGTACAGTCACAAATTTGGGTAAGTCCAATTTCTTGTAAGTCCAAGGAATTTAAAACTTCCTTGATAATGACTCACACACACTACATCTTCAAGATAAAATTTCAAGAAAAGGAATTTCTGTTTTCAGTTTGATTTTTTATGGCTGTTGTTAGGGATTTATAATTGTACATCTATACTAGCAAATCTCATGTCATATTTTGCTGTTGCCCTGAATATCTCTAAAACCCTTATCCCCTTTTCACCAGGTACATACATGTACATACCCCTCCCTCAAATTGAGCCATTGCTACAGCTTCACTCTTTTCATATTCCAAGACCCTGGCTGTTTTAGCTGCATATGTCTTACATGAGCGCATCTCCTTTGCAAAGGCCTTGATAGTACTGATCTGTAATAAACTTTCTTCTGCAACCTAGCAATGAAGAGAAAAAATGAACTGGTAAAAAGTGACTGTGTAGAAGTGCTTTTGACATGCATGATGTATCCCTGTATTGAAAGAGTCCCAAGTGTTACATTGATCAAAACCACCACTCAATTAGATTTTATTCTACATGTATTAGTAATACAGTGCACTACAAAATATTGTACACTGTAAATGGCGGCTAAAACCATTACAACTTGCAACAGTACAAAATAATACAATTGCCTCCCAACGTCTGCTTGAAGACTACATACAAGTGCATCACAAAGGCAAAGTTGTGGTCTTCAAAATCCTTTCTGTTATTAGAAATTTGGGTTCGAAATCTTTTTCTCAGCCTGCCCAGTGGGCAACCTAGTCAAAAGCTAGCTAGCTTCAGGTTGCCATCAACACTGGCTGTTCATTTTTGGAGGCAAGCCATAAGCCAGGTCACCTATAAAGTAGTATTGCTAACATGCTGGTCAAAGCTGTAAGTTATATGTAATAAATCGTTGTAAACTTTGTATACAAGAACCAGAAAACTAGGCTTGTGCAATGAGCAACTTGGCCTCTCCTGTACATGTAAGTCTCACACAGAAAACATGACTTGTGTGGTAAGAGTGGGTATTTTGAACCCTGGAAATAATACACCCAAAGCATGTAGATGTATAGTACATACCTCTGTGGATTTGGCCAGTGCATCCTGTACCCTCTTGGTGATCTTGCGTACGTATCGTCCATACAGAATGCCGATCATGCTGATCGGTGGAACCACTGTCAGTACGATGGATGCCAGTTGTGGAGAGACATAAAACTGGAAAGGAAAATTTTGGACGCACGTTAAAAATCTAACTTGATTGTATACCAGTAGTCAGCAAAGGTCCTGGTATTTAACGTGATTATGATCAATGCACTACCCTGGTATGTAACTGTTCTTTTATAAGTTTTATTACCCCTATGAAATATGGAGGCATTGTTTTTGGTCTGTTTGTGTGTGTGTTTCTGCAATTTGTGGTTAGCATAACTTTGGAAGACCTTAAAGTTTATGAACTGAGATGATATTTGGTATGTGGGTAGGTCTTGGAAAGACAATGGCCAAGGTCAAATTTGAGCCTCCTGGTGGCTGACCATATGATGCTGCTGTTTATTCTCACTCAAACACAAGTTGATTTCATATATGGTGACCAGCCCCATCAAGTCTGTCCAGCCACTTGCGACATAAATGTAATGTAATCCAACACCACAGGGTGTCTGCTACAGCACTAGTTACCATGGTGATAGTAGCCTGGTCCAGGTCATTGACCTTACTTCTTTGGAACAGAAGAAACAGAGCAAAAACATGTTTTCCTTCAAGGTAAACATAAAAACTGCTGTAAACACTGAAAGATTACAGTATCAGATCAACAAACCCACCATCATGCCCACCCCTGCCACCACTGCGACCGTGGACCTCAGTCCGTCCGAGATGTTTTCCGTCACGGCGTAGCCCACCAGGGCGGTGTCCGCCGACAGGCGGTTGATGAGCTCTCCCGTCCGCGTCTTGTCGAAGAACGCGGTCTCCTGCTTCATGATGGAGCCGAACACGGCATTACGTAACCTGTTCACGATCCTCTGGCCTGGAAATAAAGGAGAAGAGGAAATTCAATACCCATCCATTTACTGAAGTGGGTACAAATGGTGGATAAGCTGGCCGTTAAGTAGCCATAGAGACTTAAGGACTACTTGTAGTAAAAGGCGCCGTCCTTGAGTTGCCACAAGTAGCTGTTTCAGCATCTCTGACTAATGGAAAGCAAAGTAATATATTGGGCCCCTACACACCCTTTTTCATAAGGCATAATCAGGCCTTTTTTAAAATCTCCGTAATTTGTAGGCAGTCACCCAAAACCAATGTAATTGAAGCCTCATGATTGAACTTAATTCATAATCAGATCTGGGAATTTTGCTGAATCTGTAATCAGGAAAAATTCCTAACTTTGGAAGATCAACAAGCTTAGACTCAGAGAAAACAAATATTATTTTGTCATTATATGTTTGCTTGCATGGGTACATGTTCCATTCTTATTTCAAAACTTCTTACAAAGGGACACTTACATCTAAAATGGTGTGTTACACCGAAGGGTGGTTATACTGACCACTGACTATACGTAACGGATACAGATATGGAAAATCACCAACAGGTTGATGTTGGCCACCAAACTCCCAAAGAAGACATCTAGAACTGGCAATAAGTCTGTTTTTCATAGGACAGACTGTTACTTGAATGACATGGAGAGGTAAAAGCTCAGGGCGTGATGACCTTATCCTTCAGATCCATGATTTTATCATCATTAGTGCTCTTCAGGCAGACATTCGGAACATCATGGGTGAGGCCTCAGGAAACAAATGAAGTGTTTTTAGTTTTCTGACTGACCCTAGCAAAAAATTGCCAACCCTAGCCTTGTTTTGATTGACCGTTGGTATTAGGCTATGAAATGTTCACATTAAATTTCAAAGCCCCTGAATTTCTAAAATGTCAGTCTAATAAAAAAAATTAGTGAAGTAATATTTGTTTACCTTTGCATATTGTCTGCTCTGTTAGTTCTTACTCAAACATATTCATATACATATACATGTATATGGTGACAGGAGGCTAAATCTCTCCTGCTATAAAATTGCAACATGATGTAACCCAACACCAGTTACCATGGTGACAGACATCTGGTTCAGGTCATTGACCTTATTTGTTTGGAGAAGAAGAAGAGGAAGAAGAAACAGAGCATCAACAATACATAAAGAAAATTCTTACCTACCGACCCTAATTTTTCTGGGCTCAAACCAGAAACACAACATTAAGTTTCCTAGGCCTTAGCCAAAACTCATCAACAGATCATCTAGCCGGTGGTTTGATCAAGGGGCTGTGATACATGGTTCTGATGGACGGACCAACCAGACTTCACAATAACTTACAGTCCTTCATCCTTCAAACATAGGACCTCAGCACCCAGGGTTTGCACTTGGACCTTTCATAATCAATGTCATATATTCAAGGTATATTGGATCACTTTGTAAACTTTGGCTAAATTAATCCTGGAGGTTTGGAGTCTCAGATTACTTGTCTGTTATGTAATAAGTAAATTTTAATACTTGAATAGTAAAATAGAAATTTATACATGTATTGCTTACATCTTTTGATGAACCAGTTTTAACGTATCCTTAAGCCTCCAATATACATAGGAGCAAGCTGAACATAAACTAGAGTAATTGTTAGCTGTCTACATGTAAAGTTTAATATATATACTGTATGACTGTCAGCATCTGTCAGCATCAATGATTTGGTGCACGTGTTTGGTGACTGTCTGTCACTTTCCTCAGGGCAATTCTGACTAGTTTCCACAGGTGTCGCTGCTAAAGATGCATTCACAAAATGTAAAATACATGTACTTATACGGTTACAGTATCTACAGTGCTGTGCAATGTGAACCAGTCAGAATTGCCCCGAGGAAGGTGACAGATGGTCACCGAAACATTGGCTGCCGAATAAAACACTTGCACTTCACAAAATCTCTTCTTCAACTAAAGTTCAAGCATACCTTAAACAATGTGCAAAGGTTCCATTTTTCTTTTACACACACAATACTTTTACGCGTGATTTAAGATGTACTTGAAAATAGGATTTTGTGCCGTGTTGGTTGGTTGTGTAAAAAGTCTCTTTTAAATTTATTTAGTGACTGACCATCCTGATGAAACAATTCATGGACAGGTACATGTATATCGTACCTGGAAACAATGTAAACAGGTGTTGTAGTACCTGACATCTGCATGAGATACACCCTCCCAGCGTTGGCACATCCTCCCACGATGAAGACGACCACCAGTATCTTACAGATCCACTTCAGGTTGTCCATGACGTTACCCTGCTCCACGGCTGAGTAGATGGTGTCGATGACCCGGCCCATACTGTAGGGTACTGCCATGGTCACCGCACTGGAGATCAGCAGCAGGCCAATGGCAGCTGTGGAAAACACGGGCACGATTTACACATACTTTTCCAAGGACACATTTTCCCTGTGTAAACAGAACTAAACTCTCCCGTTAATAATATTGTCATGTTGTTGAATGTATGAAATAAAGATTATATTTTCTCTGCTAACACTGAAATGAATTGGGACTTACCCCATATTTTCAGCTGACTCCTTCAACCTTGTTCACGGAATGGACCCATTTACTCTTGGGACGTGACGTCAGAGACATGTGATTGTAGTAACGGTTCATACGTGCCAGATAACTTGTGTCGTCCCCCGTCTCTGTTCAGGGTAGGTCTGTGAGCTCTAATGTATGACCCGTTACTACGGTCACATGTCTCTAACGTCACATTCAAAGAGTAGACGGGTCCATTCCGTCAACAAGGATGAAGGAGTCAGCCTGAAAATTTGGGATAAGTCCCAAAGACTCCCAATTCATTCCAGTGTTGGCAGAGAAAGTAGAGCCTTTATTTCATAATGACTCAAAGTTGTACCAACACAGATGAACTTTCATGCTACTTTGGTCATTGACTGAATAGCAAAGTTCTTAATTCACAACCACTTGTTGATATATAAAGAGCCGACGTTTTGATGACCGTCTGTCATCTTCATCATCACCAGTCCTAATTGCCATGATGAAGATGACAGTCAACAAAATGTCAGCTCTGGAGGCTATGCCATGTTTAAATGTTTATGCAATCACAAATGTTGGTGGTAAATGGTTATGTATAAAGGCCATGCGTATACATGTAAACGTCTTTTTAAAAAAAAGCTTTTCATTTCAGGCAAACTGATGCAATACCTGAAACACTAAAGCACGCACACTTTTGTAGTGTAGTTTTGTAGCACACATTTTTCCTTATTCTTAACCACATACAATGTATAGAGGCTCTTCATAATAATTTTATGAATCTTGGTGATTAAGTAGCAGCATGTTGGCGTGTCTAACAGACATTCATGTACAACACTGTAACCCAACATTGCATATGTGAAAAGACTATAAGCAGTAACTGCAACTTAAGATCAGCCTTGCCTAATACCTGCTCACCATGACTGTGCACATTTCATCAGCAACTTACCACCTGTTGCATCACCCTATTAAGTGTATCTAACTCTAAGGCAGCTAAATTATCAACATTAAGACATAACCATAATTCAAGAGATATACACAACTTAGGCGTCACTAACACTATATTCTAAGCCGTCCTCCCCAAAGTCATACCTGGTACTCTCGATAGCCTCTACCAGGCTTCGAGAGGCGGCTGGGAAGAGTAGAAATTGGCAAAATAGAGAGAACATGCCAGGGGAGTTGGTCCGCTAGAGAGTAGTTCGTCTGCATGTTCTCTCTCTCTGTTTGGTCAATTTTTACTCTTTCTAGCTGCCTCCTCAAGTCTGGTAGAGGCTACATACCTGCAACACGTCGTCTCTCCGGCCGGGCCAGCTGCAGCAGACGACGCAGGTCCTTGGCAGGGGGGAGGGCCGCGAGTTTGGGTTTCGTAGCGTTAGCGGCGTCTGTTTTGGCCACATTCTGTGAGCCTGGCGTGGACTTCTGTTGCGAGCTGCGGCCTGATCTAAACCCCCGGCTAAACCCGGCAAAGGAAATGATATTTCTGTTGGCAAACAGACCGCTCCCGATCCCGCTACCAGAATTATTCCCCGTCTGGTGGTGGTGGGAACGCGACAGCCGGTGTTTGGTTAACACTCCGCCCCTCCCACAGAATGACGAAATCTTTGCTGTCCTCGCGGCTGTTCCACTACAAAACCCGTAACATCTTACGATGTTGACGGAAGAGTCCTTGAGTCCCGGGCCGGTTAGAAGACTAGACCAACGCACGCGACCGAGGAAAGATCCAGTTCTTGAGATGAAAACATGTTTGGCGGGATTTGTAAACACACTGCTGCCACAGACGGTTGTGACGTCGACACCAGCCCTGAAACCTAAACTCACGACTCTGATCATCTTGAAAATATTGCCCGTGGCTGCTCCAAGCTAAGAACGTCTTTGTAGTGACGGTGAACGGTTGACCGAACTTGGCAAAATGATCTGCATTCTCGTCAGGTGGGTTTCAGCCAGGGCGCTGCCATCTTGGTTTCGAACTGTCTTGTGGGATGGAAGGTTGCGTAATGGTCGAGCCCACATCGAGAAAAGGGGTGACGGCCGACTCCACAACAAATAAAGGGGTGATCATGTGATATACATACATTGGAGTTTTGTTGGACCAGGAGGCAGTGTATGGTAAATGTACGTCATATCGTGTAAATATTTTTCAACGTGCAATTCTACCACGACAATTTGACTCAGAGATTGTGTAACTGTTAGTTGTTAGTTTCTGCTGCAATGTTCGTGATTTTTAGCAATAAACCATTTTTGATTGATTGAATAATTGATGGTATGTAAAATTATCAAAGCCCAAAAGGACAAGTTCACAGTGTTCGTAAACACTCATGAGGGTTTGCATGTCTTTTTCCCCTGAGGTGTAGTGAACCATTTTAATGCACCACCAATGAAGTATTCCCCAAGCCTTGCACAAGAACAATTTGCCGTTGATGGCCTTCTTGAATTTACCGTTAAGTGTTGTAGACCCTCCTAAATTTACTGTAAAGCTTTGCCAGGATCCCCCATGCAGACCCTCTTTCATCTATATTGTTGTCTGGAAACATCCATGCTATACAGTGATTATATAGTGGCAAGCTTTATTATCACAATAGGCAAGAATACCCGAAACACAAATTTGACAGAAAAGACAATATTGTTGTTGGAATCTCCTGTAGATGCGACAGATGAGTAGGCATACAGGCAAAGGCAAAGGCAATGTATGATGTATCATCATTATTTCTCTCATATTTTTCTCTCTGTACCACTTTACCATGAAATTTACAATCATGACAACACAGAATGATATGATTTGTGTTGGATCTAAAGTTTTAACTCTAAATAACACAGATACAATGTATGATGTGAGGATAAATGTGATACAACGATTTGAACAAACATAAAACAGAATACCAGGTCCTTGAACATGATAATAAAAACACACCTTTCTCTAACAGCCTTCATGTGAAGCAGCATTTATGAGCAGCCCTCATAAATCGAATTCAGCATCCCATTTCCAAACAGGACAATTAACAGTTACTGCTTTTTAATATTAGAATGTTCCTGGCTGATCATAGTAAACCCAAAATCTATAATTAAAGATGGTCAATTATCTTCTCTAGCAAATAGTAGCATTACAATCTTCTCTGATTTTTTCCCTTCCTCTTTCCTCTCTAAAATCCTTTTAGGTTGTTCTCTGATACCATAGTTCTGAAATATAACAGGGGGGCAATTTACAGTTTAAAGTGTAAGAAGGTTCTTTATTCAATGAACCAAGGGTTTTCACATCCAAAGTTTCTGTGACCTAGCTGCAGTACGAATCATATTAACCAGTCATTGTTGTCCTGAAGAAGGTCACCAATGGTAGTTGAATAAAGAGTCTTCTTATACAGTTTCTTGCCAACCTGAAGAAATTATTCACAGACTTTAACCCTTGTCCAGCTGGCATTCCTAGCACAATATTTTTCAATAATTTCATGCTTAGATCATAGACCCCCAATTTTTTTTGCCCTGCAATGGCATAGTTACTTCCGCATTTGTTGCGTTTTGCTGCGGTGTGATGCGTTGTATGAGAAACACCCCAAATCGTACCTATACAGGGTGTTATTTAGCTGGTACTGTATGTGGAGAACAACAATTGTTGTGCTCCGCAGGACAAGGGTTAAATTAACGTGTAGTGACGGCCCAAATGTAAGTCAGTAGCCATGCCTCTTCATGACCTCTAGGACATCCATCCGTTTGTAAAACTTACAGTCCTCCTTAAACTTTTTCACGGTCAAGTGTGGCAACTTGTGGAACACTGCCACTGTGGGGCTTTGCCCTTGTCTGGCGCAGAACTCGATGTAGTTCAGTTCCTGGTTCTTGATGCCGTTCCTGCTGCCGAAGTTGCGCCAGTTCTTGATGAGTGGCATCTGAGGGTCCAGCTTCATTTTCAGGTCATCATGAAGATCTTCACAGAGGTCGACCATGTACTGAGCCTGAGGGTCTTGTGGGGGGCTGGGGTCTGATGACGACAGGTCATTGGTACCATTGTAAAAGGCTCCTGGAGGAATGATTACTGTATAGAAAATTGTATATATTATTCATCGATACACACGTTGACATTTACATGCAACTGTCTATCCATCTGAGAACAATTTTCTTGTATTCATAATCACATCTTGAAAGTTCATCTGTGTTGGTAGAAGTCATTATGAAACAAGTTTGAATTGCAATTGCCATACATAAAATTGAACTCCAATGTTTTGTGTTGGCTATTGCAGTTCAAACTTGTTTCATAATATTCATAATCACCTTTTGCTTATAAAAGCAGAGGGCAGGGGGGAAAACTTGATTACAAACTTAAGTAATGTACTGAGTAGCACTAATTATAAGGGTCTTACCTTCACTTGAAGGACATTTGTGTTTCCTGTTACCATGGCCATTCTCAGGAATAGGCTGAAATACACATGTGTACATGTAAGTACAAAAATCATTGTCTTTCACTTAGATGTTGACAGGTTTCTATGCGGAATCTTACAGTGTACAGTACTTCCTGCATCACATATATCTAACTTTACAAGAGTGTTCTTAATTTCTAAAAATGATAGAATCTATAGAATTAAAGACTGTGCATTAAGAGTATTCTAAATGGCAAAATATCAAACGTAAAATGGCTGCTTGAGTACTATATATCCCAATGAGTACTGTCTCAAAAACTTTACAGTCTACCAGCATGTAAAATGTACAAAGTCACACAATTCATGCAGTCTTGTTGTTATCAACAGAGCACCTGTTAAGCATTTTCAACATATATACATAGAAGCAAGATTTACCGATTTGAGCTCTTTGTCAGTTGAGTCATCCGGGGATGGAATTCCAACATTGGTAGCTGCTCCTCCAGCACCTTTAAAACATTAAAAGAGGTTGTTAACAGAATAGTAACTGTTTATTATTTGGTGCTGTGCCTGTATGAAATCTGTAACCTTAAGACCAAAGCACTAAAACAAAACGTATCACATATTTCAGGATGACGTCTGTAGTTTTCAGATAATGTATTTGAAAATACATTTTATGCAAGAGACAAAATTCTGTTGCAACATTGATCAAACATCCAACAGAAACTGTCGTAGTACGTTCCAACAGAACAGGCGTAGTATGTTCTGCCGACATACATTTGTACCATAGTTAAGATGAAGACCATATCCTTTCTTCTAGGATAGTCCAGAAATGGCCACAACATGTTTAAGTTGTTGATGCCTCTGCTGTTGGTTACCATGAATTGGATACCACTGGTCAGACAAAACATTTGACATACTCTGTATTCTTTAAATTAGTAGGAGAAAATGTCCACACACAAAAGAAATGCGCTGCACTTTTATACATACCAGGTATTGGAATGTTTGCTGGCTTTTGTTTGGTTGGTCTTGCAGGTGCACCAGGTGGCTGGACTTGTTGTCCTGCAGCTGCAGGCCCAGCGGGAATGGCAGGTGCAGCAGGTTGTCCTGTAGCTGCAGCTGGACCACCTGCAGGTGCTGAGGCTGTAGCTGTGTTCCTCGAGCCCAGTGAAGGCACTCCTTGGCACCCATGGCAGGAATCTTCAGCTGTTAAAATAAACATGACTTCATGTTACCTGTTGGTCAAAAGTGGAAGTTTCTAGTTTGTTTTATAAGGATCACAGGAAATATTCAGTTTCACAATCAACTGGTTGTCTGAAAACCTCAGCGAGAGAGCTTTAGAAGATCCATATACATTGTATTATGCTACTGTGGATCCATTGTTTTAAACAGTCTGCCACCAACCAAGCATTCTTTAAGAGAATCTTTACGTAACAGAATCAGAAATGGCCAAAATGAACAGACATGCACTATTTGCTCTTCTACCTCTTGTGTACATACAGTTATACATATTGTATTTTGTACCTTGTATATATGAAAATATGTGTATAGATTTATTAGGATGAATAATGATGTAAAATTTATCTTTCTTATATATTTTGTCAGACCCTTACCCTCAATGAAAAGCAGGCCTGCAGCTCACCTTCTCATGAATAAACAATGCTTCCGACAAACAAACAAACAAACAAACAAACAAACAGACAAATCATCTCACCATCGTGGTTAAGGCCTGACAACCCCTTCTCTGGATCCAGGTGACACCCCCCTGCTCCGATGGCCTTGTCACAGCAGCCTGACCCCCCCTCCTCCTGCTGCTGGTTTGCAGGTCTGGCCTCACCACTAGCGACCGCCTCGTTTGGTGCATCTGATGGATGTGGCTGAGTTGGGTCCACTTCTGGCCCTTCGCTTTTGTTTTCTTGTTGCTCTGAAATTACACAAGGAAGGCTCTTAGCCTATAACTCTAAAATTAGACCACACCAAATTTTATCAAGTGAACTTGTTCTCGAATTTGCCCACTTCATTTTTTCTAAAGTGCGAAAAAAATTGAGGTTCTAAATCGTCTCCAAAATGCTTTCTAAATAGTAGTATATTTTAGCCTTAACAGTTGAAAGTCCTTGTCTTCCTAGTTGTTTCAGTTTTTCAATTTACATGAATCAATGCAATGATTTGATTAAAAGTTGAAACTTTATAGTTTGGCTTTTTAAAAAGCCTGGTACGTTGTCTTTATGGCTCTTATCGCAGCATGATAGAATACTAGTACCTAAGCCCACTTTTTTCACCCTGTTGCTTCATATTTCTTCTTGAAAGTGCTAGAACCAAGAAATCGAATTGGTGTGGCCTCACAAAAATCACTCAATAAAGTTTAAAATTAAAATTTCTATCTAGCAGTAACACTTGAATGAATGAAAAGATCTAAAAAACAGATAAACAGGCTTCCATGTGGCTTCTGTCCTTGGTGCTGAAACGTATGTATTTCATCAGATTCACAGAACTGTATTGGATAACTGTAAATTCACTTTCTACCAAGACTGAAAAAAACTTATCCTCAAAGTGACAACTTACCACAAATGTCCAGTTTGTCCAGTGCTTTCCCGTAGTCCATGTGAAGCCCGCTCCCCGCCATGGCCGCAGCACAGGACGCTGACCCGTCCTCTTCCTGCTGTTGATTGGCCGGTCTGCTCTCCGTGCTGGTGGCTGTTTCGGTGGGGTGGTCAGAAGTGTGGGTGTCTGTAGAGTTGATTTTGATTTTATTTATTCGCACATACATAACAAGGCCACACCAATTTAATTTGTTGTTTCTCAGATTTTTTCAGAAAAAATATGAAGCGAAAAAAACAAAAACAAGAAGAAAACAGACCAAAGCACCCCATGATAGCCCAAAATGTTACAATATGAGCCATGAAGTGAACATACCAGGCTGGTTTAACAATAACAATAACAATAGATTTTCAACTTTTAATGAAACAAAGTTGCACTGTTACATTGAAAAACTTTAATAACTAGGAAGAAAAGGACTTTCTTCAACCGTTTTGGCCAAAATATGTCTTTCATTGAGCATTTTGCAGTTGATTTAGAACAAAATTTTTTTTTTTTTGCAAATCAGAAAAAGAATGGACAGGGCAAATCAGAGAAACAACAAATTAAATTGGTGTGGCCCAACAATACAAGCAAACTTCACAAAACACAAACAAGGAAAAAAAAAAAACAAATGTGCAGGGTAAAGGAAAAAGCCATGGTGGCTTGTTTGATATCCTCCCCCCCCCTTCATCATGTTCTTACATTATTACATTTATCAAATAAATTTAGTAAATAACAACAATAAAGTAATAGCAAAAGAAATTGAAGCAAAACAATGAATTATTGAAATGAATGAAACAAACAAAATAATCAAAATTGGCAATAAATAGGTGACACAATACAGTGAATCAATAAATTAACCAAACAAAAAAAAATTAGTTTGTGAATGAAAATATAATGAGTCAATGCGTCAGTTAAAACAAAGGAAAAGGTTGGCAGTAAGTAAGTTGAAACAATACAATGAAAATATAATGGGAACATAGTATGCAAAAACATGATTTAAGTATTGAGTTAACCAGAATATTAGGAGTTCTCACCTGACACATCTGTGGTTGGCTGCTCCTGAACACTAGAGGGATCCACAGACTCCACTGGCTCCCTACTTCTCAGGTGCTCTGGATGATTCTCTGTAAAACAGTTCATCGTGTTGATTCTTGTGAAGTTTCTTTGACTGAAAGTACTATAAACCACTTTATACTCGCAGCAGCCAATGTTTGCAGTTTGAGAAAAATCGTGTAGAGATATTGCAACCAAAAAGGCAAAATGATGGCCTTTAGGATTCTAATGAACCACAGTCCTTTTTTCTAACATTAAATAATGGGCTGCCTTCCTCCTACACATGTATATTGTACTTGTTTGTGTTAGTGTTCCTTTCTGAACTTGTATATATAGCACAATAAGATAAGACAAGTCCAGACATGCTGGCTGTCATGATGCCCCTACAACCGTCAAGGTTATAGGATATACTACTACTACTACACTAAGATATATTTAAAACTCCCGTCATATCTAGAAATAAATCTCTATAAAGGAATCTCCTTTTGTGGCAGTTCCTCAACATATGTTTGAGGAACTTTTACCGTGACATGTTCAGACATGACAAGTAGTACAGTAACACAGGTGTGTATTACAGGTGTGGGATCAGGTGTGGTATAAAGGTGAAAGTGAAAGTGATCTCGAACCAGTTTAGCTCATCAAAGAGCTAATCTTCCACTGGTTGTGACAGAGAAGACAGACGCTATGTACAGTATTTACAGGTTCATTGTACTGGGGAAATTCCCCTAGCTCTTTTCGACAAGCGCAATAAACAGTGCACCACGGCTTAACGTCCCGTCCTAAGGACTGCGATCCTAAACAGTAGCGTGCATGTCGGGTGAGTGACAATAGCTGGGATTCGAACTCCCAACCTCTTAGTCCAGAGGCAGGATAAAGGTGAAGGGTAGGTATTTATAGGGATACGGTCTATTGTAGTCTTACTTTTTGCAATACCTTTAACAAGTCTTCCTGTGGTGTCCATGCACCTGCATCCATCCTAACACTTGTGTCAGTATTTTATTGTTTGGGCCACACAATTTAATTTGTTTCTCAGATTTCTACTGAAAAGTCTGGCACTTTACATGTACTTCACCTACCTGGTGTGGAGTCATCACCTTCAGATGGGATGTACTCACCTGGAAACAAGGTACAATGTAGAATAAGTCTAACAATGAGTAACAGTCTATTGTACCAAAAACATACTATATAACTACACACCTAAATACCATGAACTATAGTTCAAAGTTATACGCATTTTTATGTATTTTTATGCTACTTTTGATACTGTATTGCAGCCAAGAAAAGATCTGCTTGGAGATTATGGTACTGTGAATCTTTAAATGTTTGTGGTGGTTTCATTATTGTGGTGATCTCTTAAATGCAAAATCCTACTAACTGTGAATATGTGTGTTGTATTTCTACTGCACTGAAGAATACTGTATCATCAACTGCCTTCTTTTTGCTCCTACTATAAAATTAAAGGCGTCCAGTACAGTTTTTAGGGCTTGGAAACCTGATTTTTCAAAGTCAATATAATGATTCTAGTCATTTATCTACATATAATACTGAGTTAGTACCACACTATCCCAGTGTATATTGACCGTCATGGAGCAAAAATATCCAAATTCCCACAGAAAATGGTTACTGGAAGGGCCCTTGGCTGTTTGTTAGGGTACCTCCCATGAAATAAAGGACTCATCTTAGGGCTTGTTTCTGCAGTTTTGAATGCCCCAAGTATGAAATACTGACTCAAATTTGCTAATGTGAAGCAGTACAAAGATTGCCTTATTCAGAAATCAGAATATTCCAGTTTTGCTGCCCTGTAATTGCATTGGATGCCTTTAAGTCCTGCAAAAATAACTGAACTTATGGTATGTAACAGGTTCATACCAAGCCATGCCTTGATAACCAAAGTCTCAGCGAGGATCTGGAAGTTCTCGCTGTCTGTGGCGTAGTTTTCTCCTCTGACAGGAGGCTTGGCGGCCAGACGACTGCTGTAACGGTCAACCTCCTGTTCATCCACACCCAGCCAGATGGGCACAAAAACACTGTAGCTGTTGTCATCTACAATCAGCTCTGCAGAGGGAACATGAAAGAAAAACATAAAAACATGCCTAAGCCTGCTTTTTTGGCCCTGTTGCTTCATACTTTTTCTGAAAAAGTGCGAGAACCAACAAATTGAATTGGTGTGACAAAAATCACTCAACAGAAGTTTTAAATTAAAATTTCTATCTAGCAGTAACACTTGATTAAAGACTGCCACATGTATTCTGTCCTTGGTGCTGAAACATATGTATTTCACCATATTCCCAGAACTGTATTTGACTTAAAAACGTATCCTTGAAGTACATGTAATAATGAAAGCTGTCAGTTGACTACATTATTAAACATATAGGCAGTTACCCAAAAAATCTGAGGACTATAGACTATTGGAATACAGAGATTTTTTTTTGTCATTTAGGGCTGCACCAATTCAATTTGTTGGTTCTCCGATTTTTTCAGAAAAAATGGGAAGCGACAGGGCAAAAAAAAAAATAAAAATAAAAACAGGTCTAGGCATCCTATTATGGCCCCAAATGCTACAATAGGAGCCATGACGTCAGCATTAAAGGCTGGGTTAATATATTAAACAATGAATTTTGAACTTTTAATGAAACCACTGCATTGATAGATGGAAAAACTGTGACATCTAGGAAGAAAAGAACTTTCCTCAATTGTTGGGTGAAAAATATGAGCACATCTGTGTTGATTCCGAACCAAAATCTTTTTTTTTTTTTTGCAAATCAGAAAAAAATAAAGAGGCGAATCCGAGATCCAACAAATTAAATTGGTATGGCCTAGAATTCCTCCTCACAAAATACACAGAGCGCATTGAACTCTGGGATTGTTGGAAGGGTCCTTGATTACTACAATGTTCTTGCTCAGATCTAGATCTAGATCTAGCATTCAGGCTTCAACTTATAGTAAATATATAGCAAGCATCATAATTTTAATTATCAACTATTTGCAGATGTTCTACATGTAGAAATGTGCAAGATGCAGCATTCTCACCTATCAACTGGTCCTTGTTCTTATTCAGGAAGATGGTGTCGAGGAACTTCTTGCTGATGATGACAGCAGAAGGTATCTTCTTCTCCTTGGCATCTCTGATGGCCTCTGCAACTTTCTCACTGACAGATTCTGACCCTAGGGAGAAATTAGCAGGAACTTGAATCACAAAGAGCACACGTATGAGGGTCTGCATGGGGGGATCTTGGCAATGCTATATATGGTAAATTTAGGAGGGTTGCCAACACTTAACGATAAATTCAGGAAAAACTGGCAACACCTGATGGTAAATTAAAGTGACCACCTCTACATAAAGAGCATTTTACTAATCGTTTATAAAATCTGACCAATTTTTACCATTTTAATAAGATACTTTTCCATTTTAATAATAGATATTTTTTTCTCTGAGTGACCACCTGTCCACAAAAACCATGCAGTTCTAAGGTCACTCTTTCAAAGTCGAGTCCACGGATATCTTAGACCGTGAAACACGCTGGTGGGAACGGGGTGTTAAAGAGGCAATATATGAAAGAATGTACAACCCCACCCTCAACAGGAAAGGGGGGCTACGGGTCGATCTTTCCGGCACTTGGGATTTAGCACTCCCAGCCCCGAGGACAGACAACACTTAAGCTCCTGTTCTGTATAACAGGAGCTTTCAGACTAATTTGCATCATCTTGTCTTGACTTGTCTGACTTTTGTTCCTTTTTCGACTACCAAAAACTTGTCTTCACTTTATTTGCATATCAATCAATAGGTTGTGTTTATAAACCTGCTTTCCCCTCTGGTCTCTCAGTCACTGACGAAAGCTAGTGGATACTAGCTGAAACGTCTGACGTTTTCAAAATCATATCCAGTTGCTTGAGTAACTGTTTTTTGGCATGCAGTTCTAATAGTATTGGCCCCTGATTGGTCTTTGTGGGTAGTTGTTACTGCCTTTTTTTTTCCAAATTCAAACACAAATCAATTACTAATACATTAGCTATTAAACTATTAAGTAACATAACCTACATTGTAGAACATAATGTTTCTTACCTGCATTTTGGGTGTTGAACGTATCATACGTGACTAGGTCCGGTTGTTTGAAGTACTTCTCGATCCCCCTGGCCAGAGGCTTCAGCAGGGTGTCCGGGTCCTCCCCGGCGTGGATCAGGTGTACTGGGGCGACATTAGTGCCGAGTGAAGACGTGACTTTCATGATCATACCGAACATTAGCCAGACTTTGTTTCGTGTATATGACCAAGATTGATTTTTAACCCCCTTGGTTGTAAGTCGACAGTGTAGGTTTAATTTTCACACAGTTCGAGTAAGCCTGAGTACTTTTCGTTATTGCTGTAGGGTTTGTTTAACGTCGCTAGACGTGGTCTCTAAGTGATGAGTTTCACTTGGTACCAGTTGCTTTCCAAGGAAACTGAAACTAAAATTTACATGAACATGCGACATGCTTTCGGTTCAAAAATTGAAGATCCACGATGATATCAATACCTCTATCTTTACATTTGAGTTTAATATATCTATCTCTATCGTGGCTTCTCACCTTCCTGTATATCTTGTCTCTGCATTGGTGGCTTTTGTAGTTTTCAAACCCGTGGCGAAGTTAGGAAAATTCGAAAAGGACCCAAACGACATGAAGTTTTCCATACATGTCCGCCATTTTGAAGCGCTGTTCCTTCTCGTAGGCACACTCCCCAGTATTTCGTGTTTTTTATCAAAAGTATCCACATTAAACGTCTTTTGTATTAGAAAACAATTGCTAATGTTCATATTATCTATTAGCTTTTGTGTGTCTAATTTATTGTAAAATGTAAGATCACTATACAAGTTGGTCGTGCCAGACTACAGCAATTAAAGGGAGTAAAGGCGGTAACTGTATTGGCACGTAAGTGTCGTCATTTCCGGGTAGGGGGAATCCCCGACACTAGGGACTTTCCAATGTTACTCAGTGTCACACCCCTAAATGTAAATAGGGCTAAACCATTACACATACAAGTAGGGTTGTACGGTTGTACGACTATGCATCGTATTGGCATTAGTGAGGACTACGAAAGGGTGACGTGTAGTTTGAGTAGGGTTAAATAAAAAATATTAAGCAAATTTAAAAGAAAAAATCGGAGCCACGACCCACGAGATTCTTTGTTAAATTCCAGTTAACTGAAAATTCTGTGAGGAACTTATCTAAATTCTGCGCCAGCTGTATATATCATATATACGTACATATATATATTGGTATAATTAATTAATTTCTTTTGGGGCACCTTGGTCCCAGAGCCAAGGAGCTAGGCTGTGAAGGCCCTAGAAATCGCCTGGCATTCAGGCTATTTTAATAAACTGTATATCTTCTCAACATTAATTGATCTCTATGTGCATAATATGAGTGGTAATTAAGGGTTACCACTTTTTTTTTGTCTGACAGGTGGAGAAAACCTATATAAGACTAGCACTAGCAGTCCATGATAAGATATTTTTTTACAAAACTGGACCGGTATTATTTCAGTATTGTCTATTGATCCCAAAGGATTATTTTATTTATATGTGTAGATGAAGGGTACAATCTGTCAGCCCCTGAATTGATAACATTTAGTAGAGATGAAGGTTTAACAAGAATGGCAAAGTATACAGAAAAGAATGCAAATTACAGTTTGCAGCACAACTTGCCGACAAAAAACATGACACTTCAATTAATACTTAGTTTTTGGCATGCCTACTGCAATGCCAGGACTTTTATAAATAATTGTCTTGCTTCATAATCAGATTCTACAAATCTGTTTGTACTGACTTACATGAGATTTGACATTAAGGAGATTAGGCAGCTCAATGTGTACCCCATACCGAGGAAAAGATGAAGACATACGAACCAGATTCAAGTTCAAGACAAAGACATATGTATCAGAGACTCCAGGATGATCAGAGGTCAGACTGAAGCACCATGGGACATAAATTGTCATCATGACTCCTGACCTGAGTAAGGTTTATGTTTCCTTAAACAGCACGACTGGGATTTGGGCCAAATATTGTGATCAACCAATCAGACTGGCTAACACGGGGGTGGGGGGTGGGGGTCAAGGTTAGGGTTGTTGGCTCGGAATCTGAGGGTTCTGGGTTCGAATCGCTGGCAGTCCCTATTGTTGTGTTCTTAGGAAAGGTATGGGTGTAAGATAAAGGTATAATGTATCAAAGTGGTCTAAATCAAGGAGTTTAGGACTCATGATCAGTGTACGTAAAAATTTAATGTTAGAATATAACTGAAGAAATAAATGCTTTTATTTTAGGTCAAACATTGCAACATGTGATCCTTGTGTGTCTCTTAAACGCTGTATAGAACTATAAGAAAGCTATAACCAGAACTGTTGGTTGCTTAGAGTGTTCACCACTTCTATAACCTGGTGTCCAGTGTATCAGGTTTAGGCAGGCTGTCTCTGGGGCTGCAGGAGTTCTCTGCCACCTGTCCCAACTCCTACGGTTGTTTTGAAAAGTTTAATTTGTTTTTCCAAATCTTGCTGTGTAAAACTCTACAGGTGCCTAGTTGAGTCGGGCAACAGAGAGCTCCTGCAGCTCTGAAGAGAGCTTGCCCAAACCATTAAACACTAGACACAGGCTACCACTTCTACTGTAGTAGTATCCAGTCTGAAAGAGTTGCTGAAGCACACATTAGAGTTCACAGCGCCCTCTAGCTGATGAGTGTGAAGTCACAGCGCCCTCTAGCTGATGAGTGTGAAGTCACAGCGCCCTCTAGCTGATGAGTGTGAAGTCACAGCCTGATGAGTGTGAATTTTCAGCGCCCTCCAGCTGATGAGTGTGAAGTCACAGCGCCCTCCAGCTGATGAGTGTGAAGTCACAGCGCCCTCTAGCTGATGAGTGTGAAGTCACAGCGCCCTCTAGCTGATGAGTGTGAATTCACAGCGCCCTCTAGCTGATGAGTGTGACGTTGCAGCGCCCTCTAGCTGATGAGTGTGAGCAGCTCCAGTCCGATTCTACCCCGGGATGGCTCCACGTTCAACACCTTCACCTCCACCTTGTCCCCGGGCCCCAGGCTCTTCTTCCCCTTCAGTCTGTCCGGGCGGATCTTGCTCCTGTGGATCAGCCCGTCCTTCCCGACCCCGATGTCCACGAAAGCGCCGAAGTCCGTGAGGTTGGTGACCCGTCCCGTTAGGGTGGTTCCGGCCTTCAGGTCGTTCATGGACACCAGGCCTTTCTTGAACAGGGGCTTCTCAAATTCTGTAAGGAAACACATGGAGTACTCGTGTCATGTCTAGCCTGGGAGCCAAACTTGCTGAGGCAATGTGCGAAAGAGCTTACGCAAGCACAGGAGAGTGATACCCCTCCTCGAACTAACACCGTCTCGGCTATGGTGCCCACTATCTGCTGGCCTCGACTTTTATACTTGCCTCGGTGCATGCGTAAGCTCTCTGTGTGACTACAGCAAATTTGGCTCCCAGGGTAATTATGTCACTGTCATTGCAGTTATTGCATTACATGACGTACATTGTAACTCGGTATTCTTGCCAGCGTCTTAATCTCCATCTTGAAATGGAATTTTGTTGCTCATGACTGACAAAAATTTTGCCCAATTCCGTTGACAGACAAAAATAGGCGTATTACGATATGGATGGAGATGTATGCTTAGTAAAAATGTGGCCCTCAAAATGCAGGAAATAGATCAGAGGGTCAGGGTTTCAAACTGTTCGAAGGGATGCACATCCCCTTGGCTCATTGTGCCTTTACCGCTCAGCATAATATTCTGTCAAACAAAATTGAGATGAAAGAAAAAAAGGTTTCAGACTGGCTAGAACACAATTGTCAAAATATACATTACTTACACATAGCAAATTCTACCATTCATAAAGCCTTATTACAGTACCTGCTCGTATATCATAGTCCAGTGGCTGTTGTAACCCATCGATGATGAGCTGCATGGTCGGTGTTCCACAGTTCAGCTCAGCAGCCAGTCTCTCTACATCTGTGAATCAGCAAAAGTGCTATCAGCTGTGATTATTGTGAACCAATAGCTACTGCCAATTAAAACATTGCACAAGGAGAGTGTCAACTCAATTATAGCTTAGTTCAGTAAACTGTTAATGATGGTAATTTTCAGTCTCTACCAGACTCCTTTGTAGGCTGAATAAATAGTAGAAATTGGCCTAAAAGGAATGTACTCCCAGTAGCTGTCAAGCTGAACATAGAGGGTCCAATTTGCTGCGCAGGCAGATTGCACCGTCTACTGCGAGGGTAAATTTTAAGGCTTAGAGACCAAACCTTGCAGATAGAAAGTGTGAGCCAGCTGACATATGGCTGCAATAGAATGAATAGAATCCCTGATTTCTAGCCAATTTTCTTTTGCATGTGCTGTCTTTCATTGCTTCAGAAACATTAGATATCACTGTGAGTTGTTGCAGTAACTTGCAATGCACGTTAAACAATGAAGTGTCCTCAGTGCTTACTATTTTTCACCAGAGCTGCCTGGACTTTATTCCTCATGTTCTGTTGTCCCAGCTCATCTAGGCTGCCACCAACCCTGTTCAAAAACCTGCAACAAAAGGCAACATGTACAGTGTAGTAAGTAGTTAGTAGTAGTTACTGTAGTAAGCCTTTATTTAATCTTGATAAATTTGTTCGGTCAAACATATGACCACTTTTCAACATGGTCGAGGGTGATCATACTACATGTACATACATTTGTACATACATGTACATGTACATGTACATAGATTTGTACATGTAATATATTTGAGGCAACTACATGTACATGCACATTTCCCTATTACCATAAAGCGGAAACTTTCCTGGTGGTTTTATTTCAATTTGTGATGTACATGTGACCTCTCTCTTTTGTGAATTTTTGGCACTGCAAATTCATGCACCATGAATTACTATAATAATAATACAGTCTGTGAGATAATTGTGCCCACTGTGAACTCATTCAAAACACCCAGTAAACCTCATTTTACCTCCTGCTACAAAATGTAACCATGCAAAACTAAATGTATTTTGCAGTATCAAGCACTGCTGTAGGAAAACAGCAGGTGGATAGCATATCTTGCATGATCCTGACTTGATGAGCTTAAACTGTGTACTGAAGGGAGGGGTCTTACAATCCAAGATGATACTAGTAGTTTGACTAATCTTTGCAGCTTAACGTGTCTGTCATGCACTGTAAGCTGTTTATTGTTTGAATTCAGATTAGTAAGGATGAACAAGTCTAAGTCTTCCAGTGAAAGGTACAATGTACATGTAACAGATCAGGGGAAAAAATCTTGCACAGTTTTCTTCAAAGACTTTAAACTAATTAAGGGAATCCACCAAAACAGAATGAACTAGAAAGGCCAATATTTGCTTTGGAGCAAATACAGCGATGGGTTCACCACATTTTACCACATGGCAGGGAAAGAATGAGAAACACAAGGGAAAACAATGATTTACATTGATATAACTATAATATGAAGTAACATACAACTAAAACAACAGTTGGATAGCTATTCCCTACTTTATTGGTTAGGATTTTTAATTGCATAATGCAAACTGTTGATTTTCAAAATAAAATAAAAAACGTTCATGCCCCGCATTCCAATGCTGGAGCAGAAAAGCTTGAAATACCTACCAAAACACTTGAATAAAGACATACTGTCAGTATGGAAATGCTCTGTGCAGGTGTTAATCAAGTTAAATCCCAACAGCCAATCAGCAAGAAATGCTCTGTGCAGGTGGAAATGCTCTGTGCTTGTGTTAATCAAGTTAAATCCCAACAGCCAATCAGCAAGAAGTATAGAGGAAAGCTGCATGCCTATTGGTTGATGCCCTGCATTCCATTGTGATGACTCATGCCCAGACGTGGTAAACACGGCACACTAACACAGTAATACATTTGCTATAACACAGCCAAAAAACTCAAATAAAACCATTCTAAAAGCCTGTATCACAATAATTTAAAAAACGCCTAGGGGTATTTGTCCACTGTACCTCCATACCAAATTTCAGGTCCTTAGGCCCCAAAATGAAGAAGCTGAATCCATTTAAAGAAATGGCAGGAGGAGAAGGAGAAGAATCATCAGCAAAAACAATATGGTTTCACCACACCACTTCGTGGTGTGGTGAACCCATAAATATCAGAGAAAGTCTGTCTGATATTGACATTTACTGGCATATGCATTTCTTAGCACATTTTCATAATCATTTGATACTGATGCATTTGAAATAGCCCCAAAAGCTATTTTTTGGTAGCAATTAATAACTAGATTCTGACTACGATACAAAACATGGAACCATTTTTGTCAGCAACATCACATTTTTTGCTATGAGGTAGTGTTGATTCAACTTATAACTAGAAAGGCCAATATTTGCTTTGGAGCAAATACAGCGATGGGTTCACCACATTTTACGACGTCATGGCAGGGAAAGAATGAGAAACACAAGGGAAAACAATGATTTACATTGATATAACTATAATATGAAGTAACATACAACTAAAACAACAGTTGGATAGCTATTTCCTACTTTATTGGTTAGGATTTTTAATTGCATAATGCAAACTGTTGATTTTCAAAATAAATATAAAAAACGTTCATGCCCCGCATTCCAATGCTGGAGCAGAAAAGCTTGAAATACCTACCAAAACACTTGAATAAAGACATACTGTCAGTATGGAAATGCTCTGTGCAGGTGTTAATCAAGTTAAATCCCAACAGCCAATCAGCAAGAAGTATAGAGGAAAGCTGCATGCCTATTGGTTGATGCCCTGCATTCCATTGTGATGACTCATGCCCAGACGTGGTAAACACGGTACACTAACACAGTAATACATTTGCTATAATACAGCCAAAAAACTCAAATAAAACCATTCTAAAAGCCTGTATCACAATAATTTAAAAAACGCCTAGGGGTATTTGCCCACTGTACCTCCATACCAAATTTCAGGACCTTGGGCCCTAAAATGAAGAAGCTGAATCCATTTAAAAAAATGGCAGGAGGAGAAGGAGGAGGAGAAGAAGAAGAAACATCAGAAAAAGCAATATGGTTTCACCACACCACTTCGTGGTGTGGTGAACCCATAATGAATGACTTAGCCTAGTAGAAAATTGACTTTGAAAAGCCAATTTTGCTGCCTGGAAATTGGTTTGGGTCCCCTGAAGAGTTAGTGTCACAGGTTGACTCAATCTTCTTCAAAACAAAGCAACAGTGAGTGGTGGAATCAGAGGATTGACTACACACTTAGTGAGACTTAGTCTCCCAGAGGGAGGCAGTATTATGGGATTAGGTGATGTTTGTGTTACACTGGATGACATCCTGCAATGGGTACTACAGTGCTCTCCTGTTATTTGCATGGACGATTTGTCAGGGAATTTTATTCCTATAACAGGTTTAGTCCAATAACCTTAGGAGAGCCCACACGACCGACAGGGAGGGGAGGTCAGTTGGTTATGGATGATACTGGGCTGGGGCCAATTGAAACAACCACAAACATGATGTTATTGGTATTTATATACTCACTTTCACCCACAACTACATACATGTACCATATTCTAATCTTCAAGTCGCATTCAGAAACTTATAATGAACAGGGCTAACATGGAGATAGAAGATCAGACACATTCCACCTTCATA